AAGAACAATCATTAATGCTTCCACACAAGGTTTTTATTGTTTCATGTAAAGCAAAGTCTAAAAAATCCTGAAACCAAAAAATAATATATCCTTAATTGGTAAATATGCAGTTATATATAAGGAATGAGCAAGAACATATCACTAAAACACTCTGCAGAAAGTTGTAAACAACCAGCCAATTCCTGCCTCAGTTCACAACCGATTGGAGGTCCTTTTCGAGATGCACGACCAGGTTATTTTTGTCACTGACACTAGATTTGTTTTTGAGGCAGGAATAAATTGTGGTGTCACCCATGTAGATGCCAACTTGGGAATTTATGGCATCAGGAAGGTCATTTATGTAGATAAGGAATAGAGTGGGGCCTAGGATGGAGCCTTGAGGAACACCTGCGTTCGTGGGATAGGAACTGGAGGAGAATCCATTGAGAATGACCTTCAATTCACGGTTTGACAGGAATGATTGTATTAGGTCAAATAATCAACCCGTAATGCCATAACCCTGGAGCTTGCGAAGAAGGCCAGCATGCCAAACCCTATCAAATGCTTTGGAGATGTCTAGGGCCACGGCATATCAGCTGTGGATCTGGCAAAGCGGAAGCCATATTGCTTGTCTGAGAGCAGATCATGGGATGTGAGGTGGTTAACCACCTCGGTATTGATTAGGGCTTCGAATTTTGCCAAAGAGGGGTAGGAGACTGATAGGATGGTAGTTAGAAGGATCAGAGGGGTCACACAGCCACTCAATGATCTAATGACAGCTGATTCAAAAAAGTGCCAGACCATGGGAGTTGCCAGACCACTCAATGTCAGATTAAAGAAGTCAGGCTGTACTACACTCTGGAATAAAAGAGAAGAGAGAAAGGGTTTATTCCCTGTCATTTTATAGCCCTAAATAGTGCCACCTAGTGGGCATCTTTGTAAACTTTTCAAGGAGGGTGGAGGTAATCTGCACAAACATTTAGTGGATGAAAGCATATCTGATTTCCTGTTCAATCCTTATGTTGCTTAAGGCATGTACAATTCTCAGTTTGGACAAGTTCTTTGTGGTAAAACTCATAAGAGATGAGAAGACCAAATCAGACAAGACACTAGAATGCCACTGCTTTCACTTGAAAGTATTGTTTTGGGCAGAAGAAGTGGCAAAGTTGTAAGGACTCAAAGTGGGTAAAGATCTTTTTGGGATGATACAACAAAGTACTAATAAATATTTGATTAAAAAATATTTAAGTCAGGTTGCATTTGTTAATAAGTGCTATTGTAAAAGAATGTTATCTTGTAATGAATTGTGAAGAAAAGCTTTAAAAATATATAAATTAAGATTTGGTAAAATGAACAAATTAGAGAGATTCAAATAATAGCAAATGCATTATTAAATAATTAATCCATTTCAGACAGTTTTTATTGAAAATTGTTAAGATACAATATCCCTATGGAGTGGATATCAAATTAAAATAAAATTTAATCAACTTATAAATTATGGAGAAAGATATAAATTGCACAGCATTTAAAACTTATATTAAATTATTAATATGCATCTTCAAGTTAATAAAAAGATAATTGCTAAAACAAAAATATATCAATTTGATGATTTATGATTGATAAAAAAAATGGCAACATGTATTTATCAATAAAAGAATGTAGTCATGGAAACATCAACACAAGTTGTTTTTGAGGTTTTTTTTTTAATTTTTTTCTTCTGTTTTCATTAATGAAATGAATAAATTACCGGAATATAAATCAAAAAAATTCTTTCATATTGTTTTATTAGTTTTTTAAGATTGAATAATGAAAAAATGTATATTTTTTAATTTTTTTTTCTTGGAGATATTGATGTTTTAAACATCAAAAGGCAATTTTTACAAATTGTCTGTTAAAATGATAAAATTCAAGAGAGTTCTTAATGCTTGAGTTAAATCATGATACAAAAAGCTTCCTTTCCTATAAATTGAAATTTAAAAAGCAATAATTTGGTTTTCGTTAGTTGGTTGGTTTTGCTTAGCAGCATATCAACCTCCTATAGATTATTTAATGCTGAAATCTAAATATTTTGAATAAAGTTTTATGGTTTCAACTGCAGCTAAAATGTATTGTTGGTCATTTTACTATAAAATTTATTGTTGGTAATTCTACTTTAAAAATGTATTGTTGGTAATTCTACTGTAAATATGTATCTTTGGTAAATTTTTTTATATAAAAAGGTATTACTGGTATTTTTACTATAAAAATTTATTTTTTTACTATCATAGTGTTTAGGGGTTCACTACTTGCCAATAGCTGAGACTTTAACAGGTTCTATCACCCCAGGTCAGAGTGGACCTGGGAACAACAGCCGTTAAGTGCTCCCCAAAAACCTTCAATCTCCTGATCAGAGACCTTGCTGCTGGAACAATAGTTTGATATGTTTGCATCTAAAAATGCATATTTTATAGAATTGCATTTAGATAGATAGATTGTGGACATGGGAAAAAACACTGCATGTTCCGTGTCAGTTTCTGAAATTTTAGACCAAGTCTATATAGATATAGATCCTATATATCCAGATAGATAGACTGACAGAATTGTATTGTTTAAAATTTGCTACATTTATAGGAAAAAAAAAGCAATAAAAAAGATGAAGGCATAAAAAAGTCATGAAGAATAATGGACAATACTTGATCTCTGGAACTCAAACATCTTGTATATTATCTGAAATGAAGTATTCTCAGTATTCCACAAATTATTTTGTGTAATATCTTTGTACAGTTTATGAAGAAAAACTTAAAAATATATATAAATTAGGATTTAGTAAAAGGAACAAATTAAACTAAATCAAATTATAGCAAACACAATTAAAACATATCTTATTAATTAATCAATTTTAAACAAAATAAAAATATATTTTTATTGAAAATTAGTAATAAGATACAATATCCCAAGTAAGTGGAATCCAACTTAAAATAAAATTTAATTAATTTACTATTTATAGAGAAATATAAAATTACCTAGCATTTAAACATATAGAAAATTATTAATATGCAAAATTTCAGCTTTTAAGCATGTATAGTTATTAAGTTATTAGAAATTTTATACTTTTCAAGTAAAACAATTTACAACAGAATTGAACGTTTTTCTGTTAAATATTTTTGCATATTCTTTTGCTCACTGCTACATCTGCATGCCAAGTATAAATAAAAAGACAACATATCAAGTAGTCAGTCTGCATGAGAATCTGAGTAGCAGTCTGGGTAAGAGTCTGAGTTGAAGTAGTAAAAGGAGTCAGTAAGAAATCTTCCTGTGTTTAGTCTATTATCTGTCATACAAAAACCGTCTTTATGAAACTGGACTAAAAAAAAATAATAATTTTTGTAAATACCTCAACATTTTTGGAATATAAAAATTTTTGATTTACACTTTATCTGCTTTCTTCTTTTCCTTTTGTTTTTCTTTGTGGACAAGTTGAATATTTTTACAAGGTCAAATTTTCACCCTCTTAACCTTTCACAATCTAGTGAGCCATTACTAACAGGTCCATTTCTCACTAAGACCTCCATTAATCAGGTTATGTATCAAGGCTGGCTTAGGCCCAGGAATAAATTAATAAAACCGACTGCTATGTAATAAAACTTTTGAGGTTAATTCATTTCCTTTTGTAGAGTTTGGTGCAGAATATTGAGTGAATATTGTTTTGGAAAGTTTATTTTCTTTTTTATGACGACAAATTGTATCCATCTTGTTTTTTTTACAGTAAGGTTCATCCTGTATAAGGCTAGGGGCCACTTGAAGTAGAGGGTTACATTAAGGGATAGTTTATATGGATAGGAAGATAATGGTTAACTCTAGACTTGAACAGTTTAAGATTCTTGTGATAGAGAAAGCATCCTCTTGGGAGTCTGTTCCATGGGAAGAAGCTATTTGAGTGGAACTTACTTCTTGCCAGTGGAATACGGAGGGAATGTGGGTGGTTTGTTATTATGTAAGTGACATGGCAGGCTCTAGCTGTGAAAGTTAAACCTTTCAGAACCAAGAAATGTAAGTTTGTCTGAGCTTGCCTCATCTCTGCCACCTGTGTGAGAGAAGAAAATAATTCTTTTGCAACAAGGACTTGAAAATGCTTTTAAAATGTGAAACAGAATTTGTAGCTCACAGTACATTAGGAAAACGAGGGACAGAGAGAGAAACACTTTCTGATGAAAGGGTATAGAGAACTGACTGTGGAGCCCTATTTTCCTGGTTTTACATCAAGATCAGTAAGTGGTCAGAGAGTGAGATGAATCTGTGTAGGATTGCCCTTTACTTTGGTACAGGGTCTTTGATCTTTTGTTTTGCTTATCCAATTACCTGGTTTTAGAAACAAAGTTAGCTGACTGATATATCCTTAAGAATGCTTGTGTTAATGTTAATGAGGTGTTAAGGAGATGATAAGTAGATAATACTTTTCAGGAGACTTATTTATTAAACTTTCCTTAGTACTATACCTTCAAACTACAAAATGAACATATAACATACAAAAAGGGCATTTTATCAAAGAGCTAAACAAATTAATTTCCCTTCAATCCAGTTAACCCTCCTACCCTTGTTTCCTATTCAGGATTGGGTTTCCAGTTCTTTCTAAATTCTACTTCCACTCTATACTTCTATTATCTATATAGCCTTCTTCCTTGCTGGTCCATCCAATCTCCAATTGCCACAGCTGATCAATGTGTTGATCACTTTGATCCAAGCCTTGCTCTATCCCAAATGGTGTTTGATTTTGATAATAAGGCTGGCAAGGATTGAATCATCGACAGGAATTGTTATATTGGTTTGGTCCGGGCAGAGTGAAGTCACAAGTAAAAAAAAACAATTTGTGTAAAAGAAAATGTTTTTATATATACATTCTTTGTACAGAACTTGGTTAATTCTTGATATTAGAAATTATTAGTTCTTCATGTAGAAAATATTGACCATTCCTGCTTTGTAAGTTCAGCATGATAATTCAGTTGGTTTAGCTAAGTCTGAACAAGGTTTCTGGCACAGGTCTTATGTCAGAGGTTTTCTTCAAGCAGAAAGTCATGTGAGATCAAGTGAAGTGGTCATCTCTCGTTCAGTGTTTGGAACAACTGTGTCAGCCACTTTGATCTCCTGCTTATATGGACCTTTGCCCAAAACTAGCATGGGGTCCAATGTGGTTTGGGGTTCTGGTGATTTCTCTAATTGCCAACAAGAGACTATTGTTGCCTGGCTCCAGGAAATTAATTACATGTCCAATTTTGGGGAGATCTCTTCTTCCATGAGTCGTGGTCACAGGATATCAATCCGCCCTAACTCTTTCCTTATCATTTTGGTACACCAACACTCCCCAATGGGCATGGGTAATTCCTTGATATTTCACCTGTGCCTGCCACCTTGGCTATCCTTTGACCAATATGGCTCTTAACCACTTTGTGTGGTCTAACTTATGGTCATTAATTAAAATTATCATTTGAAATTTTGCATAGGTGGAATTTCTCAGACCTGGATTTGCTTAAAATTCAGTTGCTTCCTCCAGTCAGTCACCCACCACCAATCCTGCCAGGGTCATTGCACTCCAAATACCCTAGTTTACACAAAGAAACTCTATTACTTTGATTTGGTTACAGATTAAATTTTATCCATTTTGCTTATGTTATGTTTTTGTAATCAGTACTTCTTGAGCTACCTCATTAATCAGCTGTTCACCACATGGCTTCTTGTGGTAATATCACTTCACTTCAAGTAATTTTCTGGTTTCAGAAAATTAAGCTTTTCTTTTGGAAAAAGAGAAATCCCCCATCTTTCTCTCAGCCTGTCTATTCATTAACTCTTCTCATCTTGTTCCGAGCAATGTTTTTGATTTAACCCCTTTCTTTCCATTTGTCAATGTCAAATAGTGTCACACTTTAGAAATTGCTTTGTTTACATTTGGATATGAAACTGAACAGATATGAACTTTCAAGAATTTGAGAAGGATTTGCATTCATAAGGCACATTTTGGCTTTGCTGATTGGTGGCAACTCCATTGTTAAGTTAGACTAGAGCACATCAGATCTAACAACGATTTCTCTTGGAAAGGGGAGCACAGGTACAAATCCTGCCAGAGAGTGCATATTTTTCTTTAATAAGATTTCTGTAATATTCAGGCTGGTAGACAAAATTAATAAATATGCTGTTTAATAAATAAACATAGTGTCTACTTGAATATGGGTATCTACTATAATAATGTTTAAAGTGATAAAATCTTTTGGATTAATAAATAAAAAATCTGTTACTTCTCTAGAAATACATATGCATACAAAAATATGTAGAGTGGCATTTATAGATAAGGAAGCTGTACTAAAGTTAGTTTTGACCAACACTGTAAACTACTACAAAACTGATGTAATGGAATAACCTGTCACCCCCATGAGTGACTACACTATAGTTAGTAACTACCTATAAGTATCTGTAAGTCAATGGACTCTAGAGACTAGTTGCGACCTGTTCCAGCTAGACAGTTGAACTCTTTGCCTTCGGGCAGAGAGGAACCTGGATGAAGCTCCGCCGAAGGGCAGAGTTTAATTCGGGGAGGTAGACTGCCCCTGAACCCATTTATATAGGTTCAAAAAGAGAATATTTTTGGCTGAGCCTATGGGCACAGAGAACCCACGTCAAACCGGCCTTGTGCCACATGCAACTCTCATTGTGGGTAGCTAAATATACTAGCTGTGGTCTGTTATTCAGATCTTGGCTGCTGTCGAACTCTCTACCTTCGGGCAGAGCTAAAAAGCAAAACATTGCATCACCCAGGTCTGTCAGCCAGTCAACTACAGTCCAGATTTGACTATAACTTTTGACTATAACTTTTGACATTTCCCAAAATTAAAATTGCTTTTGAAAAGTGGTAAATTTCAGATAATGTATATGGTCAAGCATTAAGCTGAATGTGATGAGGCAGTTGATGGCAATCCTGAAAAGGGATTTTAGAAAAGATGCTGAATAAATGTGTGGGGTCCCAAGAGGAGTATTATTAAAGCGATTAAGATACCATTGCCCTAGTTAGTGTATTCTTTTTATTAGTACTAAATAGTTGAATACTTTATAGAGAGACCTGTGGAGGGTAGTATTAAACTTCATGCCTTTAACAGATTTTGAATTTCGGTGGACCATAATAAACAAAACGAAGACTTGAGTACAAGATGAATTGCCACTGATTATTGTTGCACATAGGTCATCATCATCATCATTATCATCATGTAGATATCTAGAATGGTGAACCTCAAGTCAGCCTGACATTGAGTGAGGGTTGCTGAATCTCTCCTTCATTGGCATGGCTACCAAATATGTCTGGGAAAGGATTATCCATTCCTTTTTAAAGATTAAGAAATTTGGCATCCAGTTTAAAATATCAAATGATAAAAACTTGATTTAGACATGGAAGCCATGTGCTTGGTGTCTCTAGCTTTTTAAAAATAAAGATTTTTTAAATGTAAAAATAATTCATAAATTACTCTTCTGTTAACTTGCAGCATACATGGGTATCTTTCAGGGTGAATTAGTGTGCCTGGACACACCAGATGAAAAATGCTGCTGATGCTACAAAATCATAAAGTGCTTTACCAAATAATAAAAACATTTTTGAATCTGTGCTTACATCACTGATTACTGTGTATTACTGGTGTCCTTTTCTCCCAATTGTCAGTGATGTAAACATAGTTTCAAATTGGTCATTTGTAAATAAAAACAAAGTTCAGATAACTATTTAAGAAGTCAGGCATGGATTTGATACTGTATTTATATTATGAGCAGGACTCCCATCTTCTAAAATGATGAAAAAAATTAATATTTTTTTATTTTGAAAATATTTTTGTTAGAGGAATGTCTAATAAATACTGTTCTAAAAAATTGTTCCAAACAAAATTCTATCTTATATTTTTTTTGTTAGAACAGGGCCAAATTGGCAATGGTTAGTGGATTTGTAAGCTAAGAAAACTCAAAGCAAAACCATAGATGCATATATAAAAATAAGATAACACTATATTTTTTAATCCTTAAGTTTAAACCATTAATGTAGTGTTTGCAAAGAGGATAAAAATATTATGGTCTTCTCTACTCTCCAAGTTCCATGATATACTAACACTTATATATATATATATATATATATATATATATATATGAAGAAATATAGTTTTAAGGTGTGCTATATTTGTGAGATAAAATGCTCAATATTATAGATAGAGCATATGTAAATCTAAATATAAAAAGAGAACATTGAAGTAGAACACTCATCAGACAGGCTGTTTCATGCTAGATGAAATCATCTGTCACCCTGAGTGTTGACTCTAATGTTCTTTATATATATATATATATATATATATATATATATATATATATATATATATCATGATATATTAACATTTTAACAAGACAAAAGGAATAACTAGAATAACCCAAAGAAATGAATTTGAAACATGAGGGGAACATAAAAATATTTTATATAAAAAACATAAGTAATACTAAACATATATATATAAGTTACAAATTGTTCCACATAGAGAAATTTAATTACATATAAAAAGGCAAGCAGTATTTGAAGTGGATGAGTAAAAAGGTCTTACCTATAAATGTTCTCAAGTGGGACATGGTACAACCCTGTGGTAACTCTTCAGTTCCTCTTTAGAAAGAATGGGAAGTGTGTCATCCTCTTTGGACAGCCAAACAGCAACTATTTATTCTCACCAACAAGCTGTCATGTGGCTCTCAAGGCCCCCTTAAGAAATCAGTAAATTCTTCCTGTTAAAAGTGAGATAATCACCTTCTGCATCCCTACACCATATTAAATATTTTCCATTATAAAGGAACATAAACTCTAATACAGTTTTTTTTAGCAGTAGTGTTAAAGATGACAACTCAATGTGAATGTTGTTCTTTTTTTTATATATGTTGTAACCTAGGGAAGGTTACTGAATAGAATAATCACATGAAGGTTGGTAATGAATGATAATATGTATGACAAGAATAACACATACAAGATTTGCCAGCAGCACATAGAAGAAATGAGTCAAATGAATTCCACAATGAATCTCCAGCTGCAGTATTTACTACTGTATTTATGTCAATGGAGGACATACTCATTATCATCCGTCGGTATGTTTCAACAATATATATAAAACTAAGTGAAATTATGGTTCAAAACCTGTACTTCCTATCATCAAAACTGACTGTAAATGTTGATCAGCTGAGAGTAACCTATTTGCAGATTGATCATCTTTGATCTTTGAAACTGTCTTCTTGCATAAATCTGTTGTGCCTAAATGCAGCAATTAACTTGTAGTGATCTTGTGATCATGAGAAATAAAAAAACTAAAAAAAACCTAATGATACCATAGAAAAAAGGAAACCATCCTATTGACAGGAAATTTAGAGACTTTCTTTTTTCTTCAGCCTCTCACCAAGAGAGCATGTGGATTTGAGCTGCTCTGGAAATGAAATCCACAGATAAGTTTTACATAAATATCCCTTTCTCATGTTTAATATTACCTTTTAATGATTGACTTATCAATTGTAAATAATTTATTCACTCACCATGACAAATGCAAAAATCAGAAACACTTAATAACAACCACACTACAAGAACTTTCATATATCTACCAAACTAGTACAGCCAAATAATGATAATAAATCATTCTCTATATATATGTATAAATGTCTCACTTTGTTGTGATGATGTATATATGTTATATTTTACTAACCAAAAACAGGAGTCAAACAAGGTCCAGCATAACAAACTGCTGCCAAAAGGATTTTAAAGCAGAGTAAATTTCATCTTAGGAAGAGCTAGTGGCACTAATGAATGGACCTCATCTGAACATTTCCTATAGAAGTAGAAATAGTGTAGTAATAACAAGGCCATCTCAAAGTACTGGCAACTCAGACAGTTGCCAGTGGCACCATCAAGGCCCAGGATACCATCATGCTGTCATGTCATGTGTCTGGGGTCTTCCAAAACTAAAACTTATAAAAACATATTTGTGGTTATCCATGACTCAAAATAGATTAAATTCTTCTGCTATTTTATCAATAGAAAATGATCTTGTAAAGAAGATATGTGTAGAATGTACCATGAAAAGATTTGCAGATTTAAAGGCTAGAAAAAATGTTTTAAATTGGATAATGAATGCTTTCTTTAGCTTTTTTAAGTTGTATATTGTAAGAAACATGTTATTTTACATTTTCAGTTTTTCTCCTTGTGAAAATTTAAAAAAATTATACTTGCAAGGGCACCAAAGTTAAGCTTGACCCCCGGGGTGCCAGTGACCTTAGGGATGTCACTGAGTGATAGGCTTGCAGTGTTTCACTGGTGGGAAAGGGACTGTGTGGCAAAATGGCTGTGTAAATGATTTTAAACTCTGTCAAGGCTGGAAAGTGGGGAGTGGGCAGCTTCAGCCCAGATACGACAGCAATATTTATGGTCTGATCTGTCTCTTGTAAAGATCAGGTATGGCAGGAGGTGTCATAAGCATTTGTAAAAGTCATTTTTACTTTTGCTTTTTGTGTTTCTCTTTTAATATAGTATGTGATTCATGCCAGGAAATACCAAGAAACTTTAATTTAATATGTGGTTACCCAATATGTAATGGGTTCATTTTAAGAGATGCCAAAATAATTTCTATAATCAGTTTCATCCCAGAATATTAAAAGATCTAGGAACACTGAGTTTTAACATAGAAGGTAACCTCAAAGGCACCAAGTGCAAAATTGGGCCTCACTGAGTACACTAACATAAACAAGGAAGTGAATCCAGCTAAACATTGGATATACATATATAAGACAACTAGATAACAGGAAGTTATATAAACACCCAACTTATGACTGGAGAAACAGAATCCCTTACATGTTTGTGAGAAGAATAAATATTCAAAGAAAAACCTGAAACCACATACCCTTGTCATGGCTAATGTTAATTTGACAGAGTCCATAAATAAATAAATACTTATTTTATATATTAAAAATGTAATCTTGTATTCTTATCAGACATTACTAATAGCATATTCTATATGGCCTGTAGGTTATAGGAATTATTCTGGTGGGTCAGGTTTAGTTTACAGGTTATAGTTTACTAACCCCTGAACTAGAAAACAAAGAGAGGTAAAAACATTTCTGATTATGAATGATATGGGTATCTAATATTCTTTGATGATTCTCAGATCAATTGTTTTTTAATCAATTCACCCCAAGAAAGGTGATAAAGCCACTCATCTTTGTTGTTTTTATCACAATGTATAACCATTGTGCCTTCTGGCTTTCTTTGGATGTTTGGTAAACTTCAGAGAATTTTGAACTGTACCTTTTATTTAATCTACAGGGGGAGATTGTTCTTGTTCCCATGTCCATGTTTATGGATATATCATCTTGTTCTTATTTAGTACTTGCTCAGTTATTGCTGATCTAGTTTCCTATTAATTCAAGCATGTACCACTTGGTACATGAAAAATAACTTAGTGGATTAAAACAGTGGTTTTTGACTTTACTGACATACTAATTGGGAGTTCAATAACTGAACCAAATTATGAACTTTGATTATTCTCATGTGAAGAGAAAAACCCAAATCATCCAAATATTTTTCAATTACCTGAGCTAAATTCATTATAATATTTCATCTCAGACTAGTGTTTTGTTGAAGGAGAATGATAAAGATATTGCCCATGTTGAAGTGCACCTGCTTCAATGCCTGATTTCAAACACCGAAGCAATGATTATGTTTTTCAAATGATTAAATTGGTTGCAGCTTCAACCAGAAGTTAGCATTACAACTACATCCACTTTAATCCAACTTTGGGAGTTAACGATTGAAAAACATGAAAAAGACAAAAATTGATGCAGTTTTTCATTAAAAATATGCTGGAAAAAACTTTGAACAAAGCATTTGAAAACATATAAATGACTTCTTTCTTTATCTTTTTCTGATAATTTAGGTATTTAATTATACATTCCTCTTGGAAGGGTGAACTGTTGTTGGATTCAATATGCTTTAACCATCTAGTTGATCAAGCAAAATTGAATAGTGTCTTATAAACATAAATCTTTCTCAGACTCTTGAAACATACATATCTGCTCAGTTTTGTGTTCTAATGCAAACAAAGTAATTTCTAAAGTGATGGATTTTATTTATTAATCTGACATATTTTATTACTTAAACCTTATTTTTCATGGATACTCATATTTGAGTAGATGCTATATTTATTTATTAAACAGTATATTTATTTATTTTCATCTACTGGCCTGAATGTTCAAGAAATCTTATTAAAGAAATTATATACTATTTGATAAATAAACAGATCAACTACTCTCGTGATTACCAACATTATAGGGGAGCAATTTGATTTTTCAGGGTGTGCATTTTGAGAATGAGTTATTAACAGTGAAATTGTTTTCTAGTGAGTCTATGCGAGTATGAGTGTGTGTATGAGTTCATATGTATGGTGCATATACAGTATGCATACATAAAATTATTTGTGTGTATGTATGTACATGTGTAATTACATATACACTTTATATAATATATATATATATTTTTTTTTTTTTTAACAATTTCTTCCTCAGTAGTTAAACTGTCCTTTTGCTCTTTTATTTTTCTCTTTCATGGATGCCATGCTCTTTGCATTTATAAAGCACTACCTACTTATCTAAAATTTTTAATTATCTGAACATATTTTTTTCAAACCCTGTCATAATGTGTCCAGATAATTTAGGAAGTAATGTATATTCTATATTTTATTTCTTAGACTCTTGTATATTTGCAATTTATGCTTATGAGTCCAAACAATATTTTCATTCAAGATAACTGTTTATTCAACAATGACCAGATAACCAATCTGCTAATGATGTCAGGATGCTGAGCAGTTAATGTGATCAAGGATGGAATGGAGGGATGATGTTTTACATCTATTTTGACTTTCTAATCTTTATTACAATCAATAATGATTTGTACTTTTTATGAAATGTATTCCTGGAATCTTGCCCTTTTTCATAGCATCTATTTTTACAGATGTAAAATATTAATCAATTTACCTGTCTCTTTTGGCCTGTTCTTATTTATCCCAGTTTGTTTATATCTATCTGTCTATCTGTTCATATTTATCTAGCTACTTCTGACTCATCATCTATCTATCTATCTATCTATCTATCTATCTATCTATCTAAATCTGTTCATATTTATCTACTTCAGGCTGTTCATTATCTATCACAAACTGCATCTTTCTTTTTTTCTTTCTTTCTATCTCAGTCTGTTCATGTCTTTCTTCACCATTTCCTATATATATATATATTCTTCACCATTTTCCTATGTATATATATATATATATATATATGTTGTGCAGGAATATATAACATAGACCTAATTTAAGGTGTATGAAACATGACAACATAAATATATGAAAAGTTCAAACAAAACACAAATCTTTGTATAAAAACACTTACATATATATATATATATATTTATATATTCTAAATTTTTAATACAAGGTTTGCATATATCTATTTGCAAAAGAATGGGTACCAAAAACAATATAAATTTTGTATTTATCTGTCTGGTTGTTACGAGCTTGAAATTATGCGTCTTGTTACTCTAACTTCAAGGAGCAAAAAGAGGAAGATTGACTTTCCCACCAAACAATGTCTTGTGTGGATCTTGTCAGATCACATGACTGTTTCTATTTTCATGAATCCAGCCATGATTCCTTTCTAGCTATTAATGCTGTCTTAATTGTTTTATGTGCGTGTTCAATCATTCCATTCATTTGTGGATGGTAAGTATATGTGAGCTATCTATAGAAGCCATCTATTGAGGCTATCTCTGAAAACAATTCACTTTGAAACTGAGTACCATGATTGGTTATCATGTGAAATGGAACACTCCAATGTGTGATCCATGCATGAACAAATGCTTTGGCCACAGATCATGCTGTTATATCTGGTAATGGTTTTACTTTGATCCACGTAGTTGTGAGGTCAATACAGGTTAACACATATCTGTATTATTATGTTTCCTAGCATCTCCTAGTAACAAGGAGTGGACCAATTATATCCAAGTGAACTGTATTAAAGTGAATATTAAGCAATTCAATAGGGTGAATGGCAGATTTAGTATGTCTCTGAATTTTGCTTTTCTGGCAAAAATGTATAATTCAGTATACATTTCTTTTATTGCCTTGTCCATATAAGGCCCCAAAAATCTTGTTTTGCTAAGTTTACATAAGGTTTTAAGGTTTAAGGTTTGATATTATGTGAATATGAAAATAGATTTTCATAATTCACCAGGTATATATGGTCTGGAGACACTGGTAGCATTATCATGGTATATGGAACTATTATTATCAGTACTAAAATTGTATTTTTTTTAAATCTGGAAATTTTTGGTTCTTGAGTTGTGCAACAGCTATAGCTGGCAAGTCATACAGATCTACCATAAGTGCTAGGGTAGTTCTAGACAAGCAATCAGCTATAATGTTTTGATTTCCCTTCATGTGGCCTCTATCTGATATATATTCTGTGAGAATTGCTAATTGCCGCTGCTATCTGACCTAACAGAGTTTAGACTATGGAATGCACTGCACAAAGGCTTATGGTCAGTTAATAATAAAACTTGTTTTCCTTTGATAATATGTTTAAAGTATAATGTAGCTGAATATGCTGCAAAGAGGTCCTTATTGAAAGTTGAATACCTAGTTTGAGTTTGAGTTAACTTTTTAAAGAAGAAGCCTATTGGAATTGGTATTCCTACAACTATCGTGATGTAGGGCTGCACCAATTGCAATTTTGTTACATTCACTTGGGAAAGGTATGAATCCATCTCTTTATATTTGTTTGATTCAATATCCCATATACTTGAATGAATTATTATTTTACAAGTTGATATAATCTCCTCAACATTCTATATCCTTCATTTAGGCTTTCATTCATTGATTTTCTTAGGTTTTTCTTCTCTTTTGGTTTTAGCAGTAAAAGTATGGAAGGTTAACACATTGAAAATTTGACCTTGTAAAATATTCAACTCATCCACAAAGAAAAGAAGAAAGCAGATAAAGTGGAAATACAGAATTTTTATATTCCAGAATTAGTTGAGGTGTTTTACAAAAATTGTTTTGTATTTCTTTTCAGTCCCATTTCTTCATATGAAGACAGTTTTTGTATGACTGAAATAGACTAGACACAAGAATATTTCTTACCAACTTCTCTTACTGCTTCAACTGGGACTAATACTCTGACTATTACTCATACTGGTCTCTTGATACATAATCCTTTTATTCATACCTGGTGCAAGGATGTAGCAGTAGACATAAAATTCAAGTGAATATTTAACTGAAAAATACTCGGCTCAATTTTAAAGTGATGAACTTGAAGAATATAAAATTTCTAATAACTTAATAACTATATAAGAATAAAATGTGAAACTTTACAGATTAATAAATTGATAGCTGCTTTAAATGCTGAATAATTTTTATCTTTCTCCATGAACTGTAAGATAATTGAAGTTTAATTTGAGTTAGTATTCACTCAGTAGGGATATTACAACTTAAGTAATTTTTAATAAGTTTTGTTTTGTCTAAAAACTGATTAATTAATAGGATATGTCCCAATAATGTATTTGCTATAATTTGAATCCATTAAATTTGCTCATTTTAAGCAATCTTAATTTATATAAAGATTTTTAAAATTTTTCTTCACAAACTGTACAGAGATATTACACAAAATAATTTGTATAATACTGAGAATACTTCAGATAATATACAAGATGTTTGAGTTCTTAAGATCAAGTATTGTCCATTATTCTTCATGATTTTTTTTATGTCTTCATCTTTTTTATTGAATTTTTTTCCTATAAATGTAGCAAATTTTAAACAATTATGTCAGTCTATCTAGATATATAGGATCTATATCTATATAGACTTGATCTAAAAATTGCATTGAGATGAGAAACTGATATGAAACATGCATTGTTGGTTCACATGTCCACAATCTATCTAAATGCAATTCTATAAAATATGCATTTTTAGATACAAACTATTGTTTTTAAATTTCAAATTGAAGGAAAGAAAGTTTTTTGTATCATGATTTTGACTCAAGCAATCACTTGAATTTTATCATTTTAACAATTTATTTATAAAAACAGCCTTTAACGTGTTCACTTTAAAACATCAATATCGCTAATGAAAAAATTAAAATATATATTTTATCATTATCAAATCTTAAAAAACCAATAAAACAATATGGAATTTTTTTTATTTAGATTCCTGTTTGTTCATTTCATTAATGAAAAAAAATAAATAAACCCTCAAAAATAACAATTTGTATTGATAATTTGATGTTACTGCAACCATGCCAACATTCTTTTATTGATAAATGTTAGCAATTTCTTTTTTTTTTTTTTTAAGCAATCATCAAATTGATTTATTTTTTGTTTTAGCAATTATTTTTTTATTAATTAAAGATGGAAGTTGGATTCTCATCAATTTAAAAGTGTCATATTTAAAATCATTATTTATTTCTTTGGCCTTTTTGGTAGATTTAAGTTGTAAAATAAAACATTTTTTAAAAATGCATGTGCACTGTTTCCGAGCATCACTTATTTTTCATTGCAATGAGAGAGTTTTCCTTCAATACATATTCTGATTCAAATTGTAGCCTAAAAATTTACAGCAGGATGCCCTTCTTGATACCAACATGCTATCAGTGTAAAAAAAAATGTATATAGTAGAGTAGATTCATTGAAACAAGCCATAGGTGTTAAAAATGAATGTTTTAATCTTTTTTTTTTTTTTTATAGTTTATTTAATACTTTTTTCTCTACGATATAGCTAAAAAAAGCCTGTTATTCAGCTCTTTGGCATCTTCAGTTATGTCACACTTTTCTAGTCGTACACACATGTGAATAAGTGTGATTTTATTATTAGAAAAATAAAAACCTCTTTTAAAAAGATAACGTCCTTTGTGCGTGTATATATATATATATATATATATATATATATATAGGTTGGGATCGTAGAAGTCGGGAACTTATTTTTTTAAGCAGAAGAAAAATTATTTTTTCTTTAAGTTATTATTGGACTTTTTATTATTGGACTTTTACCTAAACTGGTTAAAAAAACACATCATAAATAAAAAAAAATTAGAGTACTAGTTTTGTTTTTCTAAAAAAAAAGAAAGAGATTTTTTTTAGATCTTTCTTGTTTTGAAATTTAAAAGTACTTAGCGCACCACCCTCAAAAAAAAAAAAAAAAAACGAAAAAAAAAAGAAAGAAGAAAATACACGTATGTGTATATAAAAATAAAGGGGACAATTTTTAAAAAAAATTAAGGAATAAATAGTAGTAAGAGAATCCATCCAGTTTTTTCGTAATGGTAAATTCCAATAAGTAATCAAAGAGAAGGAAATAACAGAAAATTTGTCTTCTATTATTAAGGTCATTCATAAGGGTTTCGTCAATTTCTTTCGAGTTGGAGTCTTCCCTCTTACTCTTTCTTCGCCCCCGCCCTCTCTGACCCACCTTGCCTTCGTATTTTTTACTAATTTCAAAAATACTCTACGAAGAATTTCTTAAAAAACCTCAGCCTCCAAGAGCGACGAATTCTCGATGCCATAGGTCCGGTCTTACTAATCCGGACTAGTTAAAAACACTAACAACTAAACTGACTTCTCCGTCAAAATAGTTATTTCGTCGTATTTCGTTTCGGCAAGCTGATTCTGGGATTTTGCATAGACCTTGTGACAGCGCGCAGGCGCACTCGTGTCGGCCAGGCGTAATGGCCCCCGCTAAAGAGGAGCTCAACAGTTGACGACATTTTGCGGCTATTTTTTGGAAGTCGTGGGACAATTTAGGGTAAGCCTGAGTGCACTTTAGACAGGTAGAGATCCCCTGCTTATGTTATGCAGCGGTCATCTAGTACCGGTCTTGCAGATGAAGAACGGGAAAAAAGGTTTCGATTATCCGTGATGGTGGCAGTGGTAAATGTGATTTTGTGTGTGTGTATGTGAGAGAGAGAGAGAGAGTAGTAGCCTGTGTCGTCGAAGTGTGAGAGAACAATAATTATCTGTTCTCTTGTGATTTGTATTTTTTTTTTCTTGAATGGATAGTGTTTTGATGGTCTCGTTCATTTGATGCCCGTTGTAGTGTACTATACGTACTGATATTATGACTAGCACTTGTTTTTTTTCTTCCTTCTGCTTTTTTATTACGTTCATCTACTACTATATCCACTCCCTCTCTAGTAGCCCCCCTCTCTCTCTGTCCGTTACCAATCAATCTGCCCGTAAAACACGCACATACACACTTTTACTACTATTTGTACTGTGAACCAACGGAACCACATGTCTAAATAGTTTTAACTTTTGCAAGCAAGCAAAACATTCGCATGCTTTTAGCAATTTCTTTAAAAAAAAAATAGTCTAAATTCACCTGCGCTAGAATCGGGGTCAAGTGAATAGCTAAATAATTTTTAGAATCTTGGGAATTAGTCGCTTGCTTTCAAACACAGGACTTGAACCTTGGTATCTGTTATTGGTTTATTATTGTGTGGTCACCATGTGAACGGATCAATTTTAGTCTTCTACGTGTCTTATGGCTGAACTGTCGCCCGTATTAACGACATAGATTTTTATTGTTCACTATTTTTATAATGCTTTTTTTTTTCTTTTTTTTTTTTTCTCAATGTATCAAATTGAATTGAGCCGAGCTCCTTCCTGCCTTGTCTTATCACACCATCCACAGCAGTAGCAGCTGCGAACCTTGCTAGTTTGCTCAAAGCTTCATTCAACATACATAACGTTAACGACGTCCCTTTAAAAACCTCATTAAAACTCCGGCTTTTCTTTTAATTTCCTACCATCTCCATCCTGAAGGCCATCGAAAAAAAAAAAAAAAAAATTAAAAGCTACATTATATTTCTTTTAACAAATGCGTACACAAATGAATTGCATTTAAATCAAAACATTTACTTAAGTGACATCTTTTATTGCCGATAGCGATTTTTTTTGTGTCATTAAATAAATACACATTTTTAAAATATTGATCTTCTGTCTTGGGGTAGTAATAGCCATATGCAATACGTTTCTCAACGTTTAATAAGAAGAAATGTATGTACATTTGGTTTATTTGTGATATATGCTTCTGCGTTGAAGTTTTTTTTTTTTTCGTTTTTATGTCATTATTTTTTTTTTTATAAATTAATATTTTAAAAATTCTGTTAACAAAAAGCATGCATGTATGTATGTATGTATGTATATATATTTCATACCCCCCACTAAAATATAGTTTAAAAAGAAAATTAAATATTTAAAAAGGAATACGCATCCTTTACAAAATCATTGCGATTTGTTTTACTTCCTTTTTTTATCTTTTTTAACTTAATGCGTTGTTGTACGATGCAAATGTGTAGTTATACATTTAAAAAGGTTGATTCCTTCTTTCTGGCTTTTTCTATAGATACGGAATTATTTTCAGAATTCTTTACAGCATCATTTCAGACAGCAGTTAGGGAAAAAATATCTAAAAAAATTACTTAATGAGATACATTACGTACAGAGAGAGGGAGAAGGATGGCATTTTCATTTATTGCAAAATTTTGAGTGATGAATCACTTCAGAAATGAATAAATTTGAAACTTAAAAATAAAAAGTGCTTTTTATTTTATAATTTTATTGATTTATTTCAATAACAATGTCTAAATTCAAACTTTATAGTATTAACATTTGTTTTTCATACACCTAAGTAGACAATGGAGATTAGAAAATTCAATCCTCATTTATTAAAAATTTTCCTTTTTTTTCTTTGAAAAATTTCAATACACATTCATTAGCTTCCACTTATTTAACTATCTACTGGGTAAAGGATTTCCATACTACACGTATTCAACATTAATTTGAAGAGATGGGTAACTTTCTAAAGTAGGTCTAATTATTAACCATTCCTAAACTCTCTCGTGTGTGTGTGTATATATATATATATATACACATACAAATTTGAAATGATACAGCTGGATGTTTGTTCAAATGCTAAGAAAAATTATGTTCAGATTTTTTTTTTTTTTTGACTGATAAGTATAATTGATTTTCTCATTTTCCTGTAATGTTTCAAATTGTGAAATTGTGTGTGTTTGTGTAGGTATATCCATTCATTTTAGAGCAATCTTTGAAGGCAGGTTACCAGATTGGGCTGTCTTTTGGACTTCACTACATTTTTTAAATAAGTTGAGTTAACTTTGGTTAGTAATAAGAAAAAATAAATTCAAAATTTAGCTTGCAAATGTAGCCCAGTTTGGCAGTCCTTTCGAGGATTAAATTCTCTCATTTGCTTGTGAAATCAACCCAGTAGCAATTGTGTTATAATTCTGTAAATAGCTTAATTCTAAATTTGAATTTCCTTTGTACTTTAGTTTTAAAAATTTTATTCTAGAAATATTTTTTTACAAAAGAAATTTAAATGTCTAAGGATAATTTGGGTATGTAAATTACCCATCTATTGTTTTATTACCCCCCCCCTCATCAGCATAAGCATTTCTTACTGTTTAGCTTAATCCTTCGTTTGTGGTTTTTACTAAAATAGAATTCAAGTAATACATTAAAGAGAAGTAAAGAAGTTACTGTTATATACTAGTATAGTGCAGGGCTTTTATGATTTTTTTAATGCAAAAAATAGAGGACTGCACTATACACAGCTAATTTTTTTTTTTTTTTTTTGAAGAGGGTAAAAATACATTTTCAGTGACTGGTTGCACTTGTCTGGAAGGGTTAAAACTGATGCCAAATAAATTTAGGGAACACACCATACATGAAGTCAGCTTATACATAATACAGTAATTAAAAAGTATAAAACATTAGATTTTTTTAAAATGTAAATTCTTGCTTAGATTGAGATCTATTTGTTGTGAAAGAAATAGAATGAAATCCAGTGTACCTTTCAGTTCTTTTAACTTTATCCAAGAGTACGAAGTGGGATGTATTTATCCTCTTAATGTTTCTGTGTGTGTGTGTGTTTTCTGTAATAGTTTCAGCTAATTCATATAATTTTTTTTTTTGTTTTAATTACTATATCTTTGTTATTGTGAAATATAGATATCTATAATTTTTATTCCATATCATTAAATCAAGCAGAATCATACAAAACCATTCCTATAGATTATTTTCTATTTTCATTCTAGAAAAACTAACAAAATATTTTTGAATTGCAATCTCAAGAGTTCATTACAAATTTAAAAATTTAATTTCCTTCTGTGTGAAGACATCTTCTCCTTCACGGAGTTCAAGGTTTAACTGATAGTGGTTCAATTTAAAATTTAGATTATATTTCAGTGTAATTGTTAGCTGTTTAAAAAAGTCAAGTACTGCATTGCGAGCAAGATAACCTGGTGTTGCTGGACAATAACCTGTGCTACTTCTCGTCTGTCTAAAAATATCTAAATTTGTGTACCTGTGAAGGTTTTATGTCAAATAATTCAGCAGGCCAAAATATTTTCAGCTTATGAATTTACTCTAAACCAAGTTTTGTACAAGTCAGAATTTATGAAGCACCTACCAAGCTCCAAAGTTACTGTCAACAGCTTGCAATACTAACTTACTGTTCAATAATACAATCATTTGTTACTATTTAAATAAAACTAAACTTTTAAGGCTTATGACCATATCACATTAAAATGCCAAAATTAAACAATGTTAAGTCTGGTTAGTACCTAGATTGATGACCGCTTAGGAATTCCAGACGCTGTAAGCTTGGATTTGCTGATGGTGTAATGGATAATGGCATGAAACTGTTAATTGGAGAGCTGAGTTCCAATTCCAGTTGGGTTCATTATATTTACTGATGTGCAAATGCCCTTGTGAAGGGTATGAATCCACCTCTTCTCTCCCAGCTATGGGTTAATTATTAAGACTTCTATTACTAAACCATTATCTCTAAAAAATAAAATAAAATTGCAAACAAAATATTTAGATTTCAGCATTAAAATAATCGATAGAGGTTGATAACAAAAATAAACAAAATTAGTCAACTAAACCTTTAACTCTATTTTTTTTTTCTTCAATGATTAAACATAAATTGTAGTCTCTTAACTTTATGTAAACTTAATAACAAACAAGTGAAAAAAAGACTGAATTTTTAATATTATAAAACAAAACAAATTTTGCTTAATTATCAATGAAAAATTTTTTTTTTTTTTTTTTTTTAAGAGAGAGGAAGCTATTGATCAGTAATGTTAGGGGTGTACAAAATAATTTTAACAGAATTTTAGTCAACTCTTGTTTGGAGAATGAAGAGCAAAGTAAGTTTTGTGATTTGAAAACTTTACCTTATGTGCTGTCTTACAATGGTAGGGTGTCAGCTGGGTGAGATAGCATGATGTTGAAAGACACCTAACTCTTAATTAACTCAGTATTAACATCACTGATGAGGCATCCCAGCACATCTTTGTGGTGCATATTGAGAAAAGAAAAAGCTTCTTTAAAAAAAAAAAAGCAAGTTTTATTTGACATATTTAATAAAACATTTTTGGAACATATATATAGTCATTCAAGTCATCTGAAGATCACATGAACATGAAACTTGTATTATGACTAGTGTCATACTTTCATAGGACTTGACATTGTTTTACTTTTTTTTCTGCCTAGTCTTTTAGCACTTCACTAAGTAGATAGATTTGCCTTTAGGCCTTTATTTTTTTCTTTTTTAGTATTGTCATTTTAGCTCAAGACTTCTGGATAAGAGTTTTAGGTTTTGGTAAGTTGTCCATTGGTTCCATCAATGGTTTTTGTTTTACTTTATATATATATATATATATATATATATAGTAACAAGTATAGTGTTTAAAAAAACTGTATTTCTGGTAGATAATGCTTTGAGCCAAGCAATCTTTTGTAATTAAAGTGCTGTATGTCAATAGATAGAACATTAATAGCTGCAAACAAAATGGTCAACTTATCTGTACCTACTTGGAGGTTCTCGAATATTAGTATCCACCCATCTGGTAGTAGGGGGGTATAGTAAAATATTACTATCAACAACCTGTTGAGTAGATGCCATGCAAAACTCAGTGATATGTTTAACATTTTATTTTATATATAATATACATATTCTAGCTGAAATAATTTGATTATGAAAAGAATTTAGTGTTATTTTGTTTTAGAAAAAAACTTACCATATTATAAAAATACCTAAGAAAATTTAGCTTCCTGTTAATTTTTTTTTTTTTAATCATTTCATCCCAAACAAGGCAATAAAGCTACAAAGATGCAGGGGATTACTGAGTGTGAAACAACATAAGAAAACATTAAGGAGTGAGAACAATGAAAGAACAGAAATTAAGAAGACAAGATAAGGATTGACATTGCATTTAAATTTTTGAAGATGCGACCGAAGTTACAACACATTATGAAAATAATTGTAAAGTTTTTTTTTTTTTTTTTTTTTTTTTTAAGTGTATGTCAATTTAAACTCTGAATCTAGTTAATTTCTAGAAGGTATTGCTTTTTAAAAAAAAATTAAACCATTACAATTTACTGATGAAAAAAATGACTTAGCATTTAAAAAAAAGTTAATTTTACATACATATCAGTATGTTTTAATTTTTTAAATTATAGTTTTTACTCTCAATAAAATCATATTTTTACCTGCATTTCCTTTCAAGTTACAAATGCTATTAAAAATTGCATTGAATGTAAAATGTTACACTATATGATTTAAAAATGTGCAGCAACATAGAAAAGATAAGATTTGTTCAAAAGTTATCAGATCTACAATTAGAAATGAATGTTCTTTTTTTTTAAAAAAAATTATGTCCTTGATTTTGGGAAGTCATTAACTTTCTGTTAACGCATATTAATCATATCTTAACTGCCAACATTGTCTACATATGAAGAAGCAGGAATTAATCTGCAATATTATATTTCTAGGTTTCATATTCTTTACTGTGAATTTTAGTTACCTTAAGGAATGTGTAGAGTAGTTTGAAAAACACTGCTTCTCAATGGCATTTTGGCTGATAAAAGAGTTAGGAATTCTTGGGCCAAATTGTTGCTGACATTACAACAAAGATTAGTACTTCTTACTCTCTCTCTCTCTCTTTTTTTTTTTTTTTTTTTTTTTTTTTTTTTGGTGGGGTATAGGGCCACAGCCACCTCCCTAGTGTTGCTGCTATGGTTTCCATAGCAAGTAAGCTTTTTTTACAGGGTGGAGTTGTGATCCTCATTATGCCCAACTGGTTTTGAATTCAAAAGTTACCCTTCTTCTAGACTGTTTGCAAACCAAGGCTAGAGAGTCTAACTTATCCATAGCTGGGTAGGAAGAGAAGAAATGGATTCATACCTTTCCTAAGGGTATCAGTGTGAAAGTGAATGCAACTAATTTGACCAGAATTTGAATGCAGCATGTCGATTGAGAAGAGTAACCAGTTATAAAAATCTTTGTAAATGAAGACTTTTAATTTTGCAATAATGATGACTAACAACAATCTCAAGTGTTATAATCTATATTTCTAGAGCTTGTAAAAATGAAGATTGATTGATTATATGTAGTAATACTTAAAACTGTAGTTTGGTCACATATCTATTCAGAAACAAAAAACTGAAAATGTTGTCCGGTTCACACCCTCCCCAGGTTTTGAACAGGAGTAGAAGTTTAACCCTTGTTTCCTGTTTAGGATCGTGTTTACAGTTCCTTCTAAACCCTACTTCAATTCTGTTTCTAATGTCTCTGCAAATCTCCATTCATGACCCCTTTTGCTCAGCAATACGACCCAGGCAAAGTTGCAGGTTGCTGGGTACAGTGACAGCAGTTTAAAGATTAAATGGATTAAATTTATTTTGTAAACATTTTAATGGTGTTTTTATTATGCTACTAATGGCTGTAATTGATAACAAAATTTTTTAAAAATTGATTTAGGGATGGTTTAAAATCTTTTGGGGACAGTTCTGGGGCAATAGTTTGGGACCTTGTTTTTTGTATAGGAAAAATCTTAAGCTTTACACTATTTATTCTATAAGAAATTGAATGATTAAATATTTCTTGTCTTTAGTTTGCTTTAAAAAATAGCTTCAGAAAACTGTCGAGCTATATTTAGATATTGGCATTAAATAATCTATAGAAGTTGATATACTGCTAAACAAAATAAACCAAACCAACCAATCAATGTAGAGCTGACTTTTGAAAATGACTGTCAATGAAATAGATGTGACCAGATTATATGACCTGACAGAAAAGTTGAGTTATTATAATAGATTTTAAATGCCTAAGTCATTGGTTAGAGATTTCTTATGTTGGGAATTGTTGTGTCGGAAACCTACCACCCCTCTTGAAGATGAACTTGTCTGCGAACAAAGACTTTAAATAGTGGCATGTCAGTTAATATGAAAAAGACAGACAGAGAAGTTCTTAGCTGAGCTAGTTATTGACTACTCAGGCGATTTCTGTACCTTTTTACCAACCTATTAAAACCCTTTTTATTGTTACGTGTTATTTGGCGTTTGTCTCTACTAACCCCAAATCAACATCATAACAGGAATAGTACCGATTGATTTGTCAAAGTTATTACCCCTGATAACTTTGAAAAGTATATGAGATTTGGATAAAGTAATTGTCCTCATGGGATTTCGTCTTTGGTACTTTGACTTCACAAATTTAAATACAGTACTAGATTGGCAGTTAGGTCTCAACATTTTACAGTTGAAATGACTAGATTTAACCATAACTTCTATGCTAATTGTTTCTTTTCTCATTCTTCTTTTTTGTGGAAATCTCTTTTGGCTTCTTGCTTTCCTGTTAACTAAGATCTGCAGAAGTTTAAATGCTACATCAGTTGTCATCTTTTGTCTTTGTAATTGCTTGCTATATCTTGTGTATGAATGTTGAATTTTTCTATTCAAATGTCTCATTTAAATTCTCTGTGTGTGTTAAGATACTTATCTTTTAATTCTCTTTGTCCTGATCATTCCCAAAGAAAATGTAATAAGATTTTTTTAAACATGTAAACTAAGTATTGTCATAAAACCATTCACAATCTTATAATATGCCAAGAAAAGATTTGTTTAACTGCCATCTTGTATATTTGTGATAGACATGACTAGCTGTAAGGTTTGGGAGTTGTCCTCTCCAGTGTTGTAAATTTTCAAGTAGAGGTTTATCTCTTGTTCATTGTTTAAGATTGGATTTCTAGTTCCTTCTAAAGTTTTTTCATTCTCTTTCACGCCTGGTTGACTCGTGTGTCTTAGTGGCGTTATCGCTTTGTTTGGAGTGAATTGATAAAAAAGAATTGTCCATGAGGGGATGCAGAAAAATTCTTAATCTGATCTATTTTGCAAAATCTGACAAATGAGCAAATACCAGAAGTTTTTATATTTAAAAAAAAAAATTTTATTTCTTAAGCATTTCTTGGTTTGGCTAAGGACTTTTCAGTTACCCTTCAAATATCTCACTATAGCAGACCAAATGGAAATGGAGTTCTTGAAAGTGAGAGAGAGATTAATCTCAATCTCACTAGTATTTGCCAGCAAATTCTTACCATACTATAATTGACACCTCACCTTTCCTCTGGTTCCTGTACAATCACTGAAGTTAAGCAATGTTCAGTCTGTTTAGTACTTAGATGGGTGACCGCTTGTGAATACCAGGTGCTGTAAGCATGGATGTGTGGGTGGTGTAATGGATAATGACTTGGAATTGTTAATTGGAGAATTGAGTTCTAATTCCTGTTGGGCTCATTATATTTACTTACATGCATATGCCCTTGGGAAAGGTATGAATCTAACTCTTCTCCCCCCCAGCTATGGGTTAGTTAGTAAGACTTGCATCACTAAATCATTCTTATCTTTAAAAAAAAAAAAAGTGAAATTAAAACATTGTGTACAAAATATTTAGATTTCAGCATTAAATGAGGGATGCTACCCTTCTAAACAAAAACAATGAACTCGCCTTTCCTTCCCTCATAAGGAAATAGAAATTAGTTTAGAAAAGATAACAAAAATAGTTTTGTTACAATAAAAAAAAAAAACTGGACTAAAACTATAGGTTAGTTTGAAACTAAGTTGACAATAATGCGACTTATTGATGTTCGAATCCATACCATGCATTTTGCATGCAATCTTATTAAATTTATTAATTCAACTTGTCATCAATGTATGCATGTGAAGTTTGATTATGCTCAAGTCGCATAAATATTGAATACTGAAAGAAATGGTGTGACATGATGCTTCACCATGCAATTTTCTGTAGATAATACTTAAGTGGAAAAAAAAAAAAACTAGAAGAAGCAGTAATATTTTCCAGCTATTTATGTAATCAACTCTTTATTTTAACTTTTAAAGTGTCTATTCTTCCACTAAAGGATCATTTTAAAATATGTCCAAGCACTAAATGGTAATGGTACTATTAGCTGTTTCTTTATAAGGAAACATTTGGCATTCACTGACCAAACAGCTAGTATTGTTGGTTGAAATTTATAAAATCTTTCCCTTAAAACAATTTTTCAGGCAAATTGGTTTCCTAAGTCTAGTAGCTGTTATTACTCTTTTCAGTATTGACAGAGGTTTCCTTTGTAATCTTTTGTCTGTAGTAATGTGGAGTGTCAAAATTTTGATGTTATTTTCTACCCATTTTAGTTGTTGCTGCTGTTGAAAGTCCTCAAGTGATGTGGTTTCTGCTTCTGATCTTAATTGATTACAGGTGTTAACATGTGAATTATGGTAATGCTAATATTAGCTGTTTCCTTATAAGGAAACATTCATTGAGTGAGCAACTTGTACTACTGTCAGTTGAAATTTACAAAATTGTTCTCTTAAAACAATTTTTCAGGAAAACAAGTTTCTAAAGTCCAGCTTTTATTGCTATTTCCAGTATTGATAGGAGTTTCCTTCCTAACGTTTTGTTTGAAGTAGTGTGGAAAGTCAATGTCTTGATTATGTTATTATTTTCTCTTTGAGTTACTAAAAAATAAACAAAAACCATTAGATGATATACATAGTAAATGTTATTGCTATTAAAAAAAAATTGTGTTAATATATAAGTACTGAATGCTGCTATGCAGTATTTTAAGTGCTCTTTTTTTGTATAATAATAATTAAATTTGGAAGCTGTACTGTGCAGCTTTATTGAATAAAAAATATACCATATATACATTTTTCTTTTTTTCGGTTAAGTAAGATTTTATTTATTTATTTTTAATTCCTATCAACCTTGGGAAGGTTATTTAAAGCCAGAAAATATTTTTCGATTGAAAGAATGTTTTTTTTTTTTTTTTTTTTTTTTTTTGAGATAATGATTTACTGACACAAATTCTACAAATGTGAATATAACAAACTGGAATTTGAACTCAGCTCTCCGATTTCCAATTCTGAGCTGTTGTCCATTACACCAACAGTACATTCAAGTTTACAGCACCTAGTATTCCCAAACGGTCCCCCATTTAGGTACTGACCAGACTCAACATTGTTTAACTTTGCTGATCATACAAAAACTGCTGTTACAATTGATATGGCTATAAGCCAAGTAAAATTTGAATTAATTTTAATACAAACTATTTCCTTGCATCTGTTAGAATTGTGAATTCACCATATTTGTTGACATGGTTATTTTATCTCGTTTGGCTAAAATGATTATATTTATAAACTTATGTAATAGTAACTTGTTCTTAGAATTTTGCCTACCACCCTTCCCTTATAGATGCCTGGGTTCATGAAGCAAATGATTTTGAATATAATTGACATAAGACAAAAACAAAATGAGTACAGTGTTGGTGTACTAAACTTAAATGCTACTATTTTATTTTTCAATTTTTTCATCATTTGAAAAGCTCAAAGTAATTTTTTTTTTTATTCAGTTATTTCATATCCAAGATATTTGCATTTTTCACTTTGGAATTGGACTCGTTTTTTATTTTATCCCTAGCTTAATAATCCAATATAAAAAAAAAAAAGATTGACATTTGAAATTGAATGAACTTGTTCTTTAAAACATTTGGCATCACTTATTACGTAGAAGTCAATGATATCTAAAATGGCATTCAATTTATGTGTATTTTAGTAACTCGTGCAAAATCTTATGGCTAATTTGGAAAAGCAAATTCAGATATAGTAAATATAGTATTTATATGAAGTCCTTCCAGCTATATACCTCTGTAAACAAAAGTGGCTGTAGCTTTGATATTATGCTCTTATATACATAAAAAATGCATTTCTGTGTAATTTTCATAATTGTTGTTTGTTATCCGTGGATGCTCTCAAGCTCCACAGTTCTTTTTCACATTTTTCAAAAGTAGAGCATCAATGGGGTGACAGTTTGAAATAATTTAATTCCTTTATTGATTTGTTTCATTCATGTTCCTGAATTCTATACTTTTTCCTCTTGAGTTGAAATGTTATTGGAAACTAACAGCCATATTACAATTTGTTAGTAAATAAGGCATTTTTCATATAAAATTATTTAAGGCACAAGTTAACAAAAGCAAGTACTATTTCTAGTTGCGATCATTGTACCTCAACACTCAGTCTTTTTTTATTATGTCTGTTATATCTTACATCTTGATATTGGTTTGTATATTTTTGAACCAATAAACTGTCCTATTAGCAGTAGTAATATTATTTTGAATTTTTATGTGAGGAAGCCATTATTAATTTTTAAGTATTTTTTCAGAGTTCACAACCAATTTTGGAAAACGGAAATAAAAAATAGTTACTTTTTAGAGAAGAATCAGGGAATTTTAATGTTGGGAAAATCAGGGAGTTTTGGTTTTAATGTCGGGGAAAAATGGAATTTTTTAATGCAACTTGACATGCATTGAATGACATGTTTATTAAATACATTTTTAGATTGAAAAATTGTTTGAAAATAAATGTTATTGATGTGATATATATTTGTTTCCTAGGATTAAGAATATTTGAATCAGAATACTTCTTTCAATCCTGAATTCATGAACCAATATAAATAAATATAACCACATTTTTAAAGTAGAGATGTTATATTGTATATGATGGGAAAGTTTGTATTCAACAATGCATGTTTCTTTGTTCATTCCTCTTTTTAGCTGTGCTCCAGAACAACTATATACTTATATTAACAGACATAGATAATATATACTTATATTATATCTGTCTGTTATGTGATGTCCAAAAATCAAAATTTCAGTGGAATTTTTAAAGGAATTATCAAGGTATTTTATTCACTGATTAGGCTGGGAACACTGTTTCATTTTAATGTTAATTGTTTTTCATTACAAGTGATGATCACAGCGGGACTGTACATACTCAAGTATAGTGCAAGTTTTTATACAAAATGCAGGGATAGCATTCTACACAGGTAAATTTTTTTTTGAAGAAGTTAAAAATTATGCATTTTCAGTGACCAGTTACACTATACACAGGTAATTTCTTTTCTCGATGTGTTAAAATTCAGGTGTTGCACTATACATGAAGTTGGTTTATAAATGGTTCTATACAGTAGTTGCAATAAAAAGCAACTAAAATTATTAAGATAAAAGAAATACTAATAAAAATGAATAATGGTGGCAATGCTTCATCCAATAAAAATATGAGATAATATTACTACTGTTATTGTTGGCAACTGCTCACATTGGGATTGTCATCCTCTCTCCTTATTCCCTTTCTCTCCCCTGGTGATGATGGCTGTGCATCAAAGAGAGTTTGCTGAGGCCATTTGCATGAATTTTTGGTGGACAACTCTGCACAATGGAGAAGCCCACACACTTGGCCAGAAGTATTACTACTACTATTGTGTGTAAAAATATTAACATCAAATATTGAGGTGGGATAAATAATGGGTTTATATGGTTAGGTTTGTTTGGCTCTTGCAGCTTTCATGATAAAATAGGATTTTTGAAGGAAAGAGGTGCGGGTTTAATTCCTGGCAAGAGGTTATTCGTTATTTCCAATCTGCACAGATTACTGGTTGACATTGGACAGCAGCCTGAGCAGTTGTGATGAAAAGCAATTAAGAAATTCTGGCTTTGAACTTTTAACTTGTACATTGGTTTTTTTTGAAAGTAGGGAGAAGATGGATTCATGCCTTTCTGAAAGACATTAGTACATGAAGACATACAAACTGTCTGTAAACTGAACTTAGCTTTCTGATTCCATTTTTCTATGCTGTTAACTGTTAAGGCCATCTGTTAGTCATAAAAGAGGCCTGTGGAAAGTTTGGATGGGACAAGGAAATTAGGGTAGAACCAAGTAATAATATTTTACTTGTTTTAACTCGTGAAAATTTCAGCGTTTTCCTATTTGAAATTTTTGATGAATCTTAATTCTTTAGTTAATGATTGAATAAGCTTATGGCGGGTTCTATGACAAAATATCTGTAGAAATTCCCTGATTGCATTGTTAAATATTTGATCTTAACAACTTTAACAAAATATTGCAATAGCAATCATAAATATGAATGCTGATTGTTATTTTAAGAAGTAAGGAGGTACAAATGAAAAGATTTGAAATTTTGACAACTTTTTCCATTTCACTGCATGTTAACACTTCTATCTACTTTTTTTTTTTTTTTTTTTTTTTTTTTCCTTTCATTTTCTCAATGAAACCAATTAGCATTTCTGATATGTCTTTTCTGTCTTCTCATACAAAACAATAGTCCATTATTTATAAAGTATTAGCAGGAGATGTTAAACATTTATATCTTTCTTTCACTGAAACCAAGTAGTATCTCTGATATATCTTTTGTCTTTCCATGTGATCAAAATGGAATAGTCCGTTATTTATGAGTTATTGGTAGGGTGTAACTGTCGTGTGAATTAACGAAGGGAGGGACAAGCACAATTATTATATGATTTTTTTTTTATACAGAATTTATATGACCAAAAACTTAAGGAACATATTTGCTTTACAAAAAATAAGATTAACATAAGAGTTATACACAAATGCTTGGTTTTATTTTATTTTGTTGTCCAAATTTAAAAGTCCCTGCACCAAGTATGTCTATACGAATAAAACTATAAATTTACCTTCAGTTTGGTCACAGTTAATTCAATGAAGTCCAGAAGAGAATAAACAATTATTTTACATATGAAAAATTTAGTTACGTATTCTTAACAGACGTTATTAAACATAACATTACACAATCAGTTTTTGACATGCTGGCCTGTTGCAAGACCAGTTAAGTAAATTGGTCGACTTGGTAAATGTTTTTTTTTTACAACGGTGCATATATTTGTTAGATTAGTTGTTTTGAATATACAGTTTACCTAATACCAAGAAAGAAATGTCTTCATATGGGTGTAGCATTTTCAAGTTTAGGGTTAACCATTATCTTACTCACACATCTTTATAAACTGTTCCTTGTACTGCTTGCACAACCACCTCCTTCAGTAACCCTCTACATTGAGTTACTCTTGGGTCTTATTTTGGGTGAACATTATTTACAAAAAAAAAAAAAAAAATTAACACAAGTCCAGTGCCAGATTTACATATAGGCTTAGTAGGCTGAAGTCTAGGGCCTCAAAATCTAAGGGGCCTCCAGCCCAGGTGCATAATATTTTTGACACTGTCATAGGCCTTTCTTACATATGCTGTCATAACTTGTTCTATACTCTAAATAAACCTTCATTGTCCTCAGCTTTACTCAAATTGTTTAATTTAACACTCTTTCATTTTCCTCTAATCATGAGAATAAGGGATTTGGAGGGGCCTCTCAAGCGGAATAGCCTGGGGCCTCTCTTCATTTAAACCCGGCCCTGCATGGGTGCTAGAAATGTGGTTTAGGAACCAAGAGTTGGCAGTGAAGTAAAGTTTGGGAACCACTACTCTAGGTCATGAAAAATAGTTTACTTTCAATATAAATCCTATTGTAATTGTGCTTGTCCCTCTGTGTTAGTTTGCACAACCTTTATGCCCCTGTCAATACCTCATAAATAATGGATTATTTCGTTTTGAGCACGTGAAAAGAGGAGAAAAAACACTACTTGGTCTCGGTGAGAAAATGAAAAAAAGAAAAGATAGAATTGTTTAACAGTTGTTAGAGTGAAATGGAAAAAGTTGTCAATTTCAAATCTTTTCATTTGTACCCACTTCTTAAAATAATGACCAGCATCCACATTTATGATTGTTATTGCAATATTTGGTTGAATTTGTTAAGCTCAAATATTTAACAATGTGATAGGGGATTCCTATGGCTATTTTGTTGTCATTGAACTCACCATGAACTTATTTAAACATTAACTTAACATTTGTCAGAAAATGAAAATAGGAAAACTGAAACATTCATGGGTCTTTCTAGTAATTTTATAATCTACTACTTAATGATTGAGAAACATTGATAAATACTTATGAAAAAAAAAAAAAATTCTTGTTTGTTTCTTTTTGCCTTTTTATATTTTTTATTTTATTTGGATTTTTTTCTAACTTTTGCTTTATTAATATATATATATATATATTTCCTATTTTTATCTTCACAGACTAATTTGATGTACAATGGAGATCCGAGATGTTTGGCCATTGACTTAATGTAAACTTCTCGCCTTCCAGATAGCAGAGCTTCATGTGACCACCACCAAAGTAAACTACCATGGATGTTGAAAGCCTACTCACTGTGAAATCCACCCAATCTTAACGACACGCCCACTTAAGGGTGGCCAGCTCTAGTGACCAGGTGTGAGGAGAACCCAATTTATCACCTAGCCCGCACCACTTGACCACAGTCCTGGCCTGGACACCTTCATCTGATACCGTTGCGACGATGACGAGTGCCGCTCAATTGGCTGTGAATGCTTTAACTGCCAGCGAGCAGCTTGGCAATAGCAGCAGCCTTTCAGTAACGGACTCGGTCACCAGCAGCAGCGGTACAGGTACCAGTAGCAGTGGTGGGGGTTCCTCTGGCAAGTCATTCAAATGCCAGTTCTGTGCCAAAGAGTTCCCCAAGTCCTGCAACCTGACGACCCACCTGCGCACCCACACTGGCGAAAAGCCTTACCTGTGTGGGGTGTGTCAGCGGGGCTTCTCCCAGTCGGGCAGTCTGCACGTCCATCAGCGAACGCATACAGGTGAGAAGCCCTACAAGTGTCACTTGTGTGACAAAAGGTTCGTGCAGGTCGGCAGCCTTAGCGTGCACCTTAAAATTCACACAGGGGAGCAACCGCACCAGTGCCACCTCTGTCAGCAGAGGTTTGCACAGTCGAGCTCCCTTCGTCGGCACATTAAAATACACAATGGTGAGAAAAATTACAAGTGTAAGTTCTGCGCCAAGGACTTTGTGCAGTCGTCGCAGCTTGTGAAGCACACGCGCACGCATACGGGGGAAAAGCCCTATGCTTGTAAATACTGCGATAAGCGGTTTTCGCAGTCCAACTCCCTCGAAATTCATCAACGCGTGCATACAGGCGAGCGGCCTTATAAGTGCGACTTCTGCGACAAGCGTTTCCCTCAGTCGTCCCTGCTGACCCGTCACATCCAGGTACACACGCGCGAGAACTTCTGCAAGTGCGACTTCTGTGACAAGCCATTTCCGCTTCAGAGCCTCCTGGACGAGCACATGCAGCTACACCGTGACAATCCCTTTGAATGTGAATATTGCAACAAATGTTTCTCAAAGGCAGCACGCCTCATGGAGCATCTCAAAGAGCATGCTGGCGAAGAGCCCTACCGGTGCCGGTTTTGCGACAAGACATTCACGCGCCACCGGAACCTGTGTCAGCACCTCAAATTCCACACCCGGCAGCGAGCTCTCGTCTTCCCGCAGGTCGAGAAGTTCTGGGAAGAGCTACAGGACCCAAATGGCGTCAAAACCACTGCATCGCATGCAGCCGTGTGTGACGTGCTCACTCAGTCCTGCTTTAAGGATGATAATGACCTGTTTAAGACGATCGCGGCTGGGGCCCTCCGCGAAAAGATTCATCCAGGCGACACAGACACTACAAGTATGGAGTTGGCTGCTGACTTAGCAACTTGCTGCAAGAATGAGCAACATTTGGATGCCTGCGATGCGGCTGCTACTTCAGCTGCTGTGGCAGCTGCGGCAGCTGCCAATCGAAGGAATGGCTATCCGCCACGGCTGGAAGTAGATGTTAGCCACAAGAAAGCAGCCGGGCTGTCAGCTGAAATCCATTGCTGCGATGACCAAGACAACCCCAGTGTCTGTGATAATGCCACCGATGAGAGCCAAGCCGCAGCTGCCGCGATTGACCAGGGCTATAAGCCACTTCAGGTTGACCTTCAAATGTCCGAGCAGGCCATCGGACATGGCGAGAAGACATGTAAAATGCTGTGCACCGCAGACACAGACCCAACGCCAACTGTTGTGCATACATACATTTCCAGCTGTCCCGAGCAAGGGCACATTACCGCTGAGCTACCAGCTGGTGCCAAAGCCATTGACCCTACTGCTGTTGTTACTGCTGGTGCCCCCTACCAGTGTGGTGAGACCATCATTACAGCTAATGCTGTGTTTGATGGCAGTGTCCTGCCCAAAACTAGTGGGGCGTGTCTGGTTAGTTTACGCACGTGTGAGCCCAGTGTATTTACTAGTGCAACAGCCGCAGCAACGGCCCCTCCACCTACCGTCCACCTGGAACGGGCCATGAGTGCTGAATTGGCTGTGGTTGATCAGTTGGTGTCCCACAGCCAGACACCTGTCAGACAAAAAGATGGCACAGCCATGGATATTGGCAAGCCAAATTTGTTTGAATGTGACATGGACATCAAACTGTATTTGCCTGATCGGGGAGAGGCTGCTGGCTCTGCTCTCTCTGTTACAACGGCTCACCCAGTGCAGTTGCAACAGCATCCTCACCATGTTGTACCTCCTGCCCCACAACAAGCTGTGGTCCCTATAACCCATCCTCCTCTCCCCTCACCAGCCACTGTCCATATCCCTGCTACAATGAGAGATACGAAACGAAAAGGCACTGACCTTTGTACCTTCACGTGCAAAGGTAACATGTACACAAAACCGAATGTTAATACCTTGCCCTCAGATTGTGTGGAAAAGGGACGTAGTCCAGGCTCGTACGATTGTGACCTGCCCCATGGCTACGGCTAGTATCCCCTTCCTTCCACACTCTGGGGGGGCAGGCCCCATCTACCCCTCAAAACCTATCCCTTTGTATTTGTGAAATATTATCACTCTACATTTTTGGATTATCAGTGATTTCTTTCTTTCTTTTCTTTTTTTTTTTTTCTTTCATGTGCGGGATTTTTTATTACTTGTCATTTTTTTTTTCCTTCAAAATTTACAAACGTTTTTCTCTTTCTCCCTCCTCACATATTGTTATCCTTATGGCTGTCACTTGCCATTTTAAACAAACAAGAACTCAGTTTGTAACGGTTGTAAGTCACATCCTATCATCATGTTAAAGTTATGTCAACCCTGAAAAATCAGATGAATGATAAAAGATTAAGTGATGCAGCCTCTTTGAAGTCTGATACAGACGTTTTCTGTATTGTATTATTTGAGGTGGAATCCAGTCTCTCTCATTTTCCTGTTCCCGTGCCTATTCTTTCATTTTCACTGATCATAAGCTTTTTTTTTCTTTTTTTTTTTTATTTATTTATTTTTTTTTTTTTTCTGAATATGTTATTGACAAAGAGAGTGGTCTCCAATGTTAAACTGGCAACCAGATGAATCCAGAAACGAATGAATGAATTTCTTGAAAGGATAAAATCTAATGTGACAACCCTTCATCTCATCTTCTGTAGACTGACTCCAATGTTGGACTGTGTGGGTAGTTGTGGACCAGCCACACTCATGTCTCTAAATGAACAAGCATCTCCGTTCCACTCTTCTTCCCCCCCTATCTGATTCAAATGTCTCATTTTGCTTTCTCTTTTTTCTTCTTTTTTTCCTAAGAAAAGAAAAAAAAAAAAAAAATTATATATATTCTCCCTTTCAGGCCTCCAGCATAACTCTCTCTCTCCAATATGCGACATATCTTGGTTATCTCTTGGAAATTCTATAAGTGAGGGAAGGTAAACTCTTAAAAAAAATTCAAATTGGAAAAAAAAATACATGTTGGTATATTTAAAAAAAAAAAAAAAAAAAGCAAAGAAAATTGAGCAAGAGATTCAACTCTTGAGTATTTAAGAGTTGTTTCCCTTGAATAGATTGTTAATACTTGCTGGGACATAAAAATGCTGGACAGATAAAAAAAAAAAAAAAAATAATACAAGCAAAATCACTGTTCTAGAGGGCTTTGGCTTATAGACTATGCTGCTAAAAATGGAAAAAGGGAAAAAAAAGCAAAATGGAAAGAAAAGATTAAAAAAAACAAAAAAAAAAACAAAAAAAACCCAAACCTTAATATTCATAACTTTACATTCATGATTTCAACACCAGGAATTTGGATATTTTTTATGAAAAATTTAGATCTTCCCCTCCCCTTTCATTTTTTTTCTTTTTTCCTCTTTTTCCCTCCAAGAAATTGTCTTGATTGAATACATGTTTGATGTCAATGAAAAGAAGAAAAAATTAACTGTTGTGTAGAATTTTTCTTTGTTTTGTAGTTTTACCCACCTAGTATCTTTTTTCTTTCTTTTTGATAAAATGGTAAACAAAAAAAAAACACACAAAAAAACACACAAAAAATAAAACTAAACAAAAAAACAAAAAAAAGCAGTAAATTGCAAAGTGGTGCTGCACCTGTGCAGATTTTGGTATTGCACTGATTTCTGAGCAGTTCACTCTTGCCGATACAAAATGAATTGACCAATTCTGCCATCTCATGTGATACAGCATAAAGTTTGCTCTGCACTGTCACAACTGAAACATCATTACCAGATTTTGTATTGTTTATCCTAGAGATGGACCAAGAAGAAAAAAAAAATAGAATCTTTTAATTTAAAAAAAAAACCAAAAAAACAAAAAAAAACTTTTTTTTCCTCCTCTTCCATTCCCTTTTTTCTTTTCTTCATTTCCCCCTTCTCTCTCTCGCTCCTGCATGACTTTGAATGTTGTCCTGGTCTGTTACCTTCAGACTATATACTACAACTACTGTTATTTCTTCTTCTACTATTGCTACTGCTGTTGCACCTCCTGTGTCTCCTCTTGTTGTCTTCCCTGTGTCTGGTAAAAGAATATTTATAGGTGCGAGATTTGTGACTGGCTCTTTACTGGCATCACCTCCCTACAACCATCTCAATGTTATTCTTAATGTTGTAGAAACAGTTGTAATAAATATTTTTGAAATTGTATTTAGCATCCCGTTTTTAATTTTTTTTATTGTCTTATTAAAATGGGAGAATATAATGTACATTTTATATCAGAACAATTTTAGACAAATGTTTGATAAAGTAGAAAAAAAATATTCTGTGTAGCACATTTTATCCTCTAGAAGGACTTCATCAAACTAATGTTTTTTTTGTTTTTTTTTATAGAATTATAAAAGGTGTTCCAATAACTCGGACCGATTTTAAATGTGAATTAAGTTTAAATGTCTAATGATTTTTTTCTTTTTCAGATTTAACAACTTAAGTCTTTGGCAATTTCAACCATGGAAAGATTAACAATCAAAAAACGTGTTAGTTATTGAAGCCTATTACAAAAATGGACGTGCAAACAAAAATGCATTTTGTGCACTTCGTGATTTTTTTTTTTTTTTTTGTCAACATAACCAACTGAGAGTGCAATTGGAAATGATGTAATGTTGTTGTAGAGAGGTCCAATTCCTGCATGCAATGACGAATAGAGGTATCTGGATTTTCAGCCACTCATGCACTGCAGCAATGTTTTCAGCTGAATGGTATAAATGAGCATGCAATGGTGTTTTCATGTCTGTCACCGACCCAGTTTGTTTGAATTTACAATTTTTCCAATTGCACTCTTGAAACTTTAACATGTTTGATTGTTAACCTTTCCAGGGTTGAAATTGCCAAAGACTTAAGTTGTTAAATCTGAAAGAAAATTTATACGCTTAAACTTGATTCACATTTGAAACCAGTCCAAGTTATTGGAACACCATTTATATGTGTAGGCAGGAGATGAATGAAATCGGCTAAACTACGTGCCCAAACACATCTGAGAAAAAAAAAAAAAAATTAATTTCAACATTTTTTTGTTTGTATCTTCAGCATTTCCTGTCAGTGACTAATTATAACCAGTGCTTACGTTTTTATATTCCTCCCTTGCCCCCCATCTTACATGAAGCACTTGAGATTGAGATAAAATTGTGGTTCCTGCAATCTTGAAACGGAACTTTTTCTATCACAATTCCTCTCTTCAGTACTGTTGACCTTGATTTTGTTGGTTTAAAATTCATTCTTGTCAAAGTCATTATCTTTTTTAAACCCTGTAATACCCACCGACATCCAGGTACAGTAGATGTAGTAACTGTCAGATCGTCCATATATGCACGGATTGAAGGTCTCTTCAATGGAACTTGACACTCAACTTCTGATTTTTACCAACATGTTGACAGTTATGGTGAATAATATCACTGAGATAATTCCCCTTTCTAGCTGATGCCAATTGAAAGATATCAAATTGGAGGTTGTTTTTATGCTGAAATCACTGTAATAATCTTGTATGATATTCTTTACACAAATAGGGACACAGTATCTTATAAGAGCTTCCTTGACTAATTTGTGTGGAATGGATCCATGTGCATTAGCAAGGTCCAGTCACTATCTATGACTAGATCGCCTTTCCCTTCTTTTGCTTCTCTTAGGAGCTGAATTATCACGCCAATATGCCCCAGGCAACTTGGGATGCCTGCAATCCCTCCCTTCTGTACTGAAGTAACTGTTGACAACAAAATAATGCCAAAATTGTTAGAAAAGAATGCTGAAGAAGATTTTGTTCTCGGTGTCCAGCAAAGAAATTGTTCTAAATTGTTCAATTCCTTTCAAGTTTTTTTCTTTAGGAATCCACACTGCATTAGCGAACCTTCACTGCTTTGCAACTCTATCTCTCCTCCAAATTGCTTTTAATATTTTCCAGAGATGTACCTGAATATTTGGACATCTCTTATAGACACTATAGGGAACACTGCTGAGTCTTGGGGCTAAAGCTGATCAAGCTGCCAGTATGATCTCTTTTAATTCTTTCAAGGTCAGTATCCTCAAGTCGAAAATATATATATATATATATATACACACACACACACACACTCTCTTTTCTATAACCTAATATATATATGAATTTAAAATTGTGAATTGAGATTTTTACTGAGGAACATGCCCACTCTAACTGAAAATGTTGGATCCAACACTTAGGCAGGACTTTTAGATTTATTGACATTCTTGGGAGCATAAATGCATAGGAACTAGTGGCGACAAACTGAGGAATCAGTTTATATTTAGAACTGGCTCCCCACTAACTTTATATCCACATTATAATTTGTTTGTTTATCAAATTCTGATTAGGTATGAATCCACCTCCTCTCCTCCTCCAAGCTATAGGTTAATTAGTAAGACTAGTATCACTAAATTATTATCTCCAAAAAAGAAATTCTTAAAATCTAAAAATACTTTTTGACTTTAAATAAACTGCAGAGTTAATAAACTAGAAAACGAATCAATCAATAAAACACCATATTGTATAATACATTTTAGAACCAAAGAAAAAATATCCATTATATGAATGAATAAACACATTTGAATCATTTTTGTAATCAGGCTGATATGTATTCAGAACAAGAAATGCAGCAGTTACAAAGAAACTTTACTGATATATATATATATATATATATCTATATACACACACACACATACATACATACATGGAGTAAAAAAGCGGACTGTAAAAGATGTAGAACAAATTTTGGAAAAATGTGAACTCATTTATTTATTGAAAACCAAGAAACTTTGGAGTTGGGATAAAATTGATATTTAAAAGTTAATAATATATATATATATATATTATATATAGAAATAGACTCTTTATTCAGTGTTGATAGGTCCACAATGCTTATAAAATACTAAGCATATTTACCCTATAATTATAGAATTACATTAAAACTATGTTTTATCTTATAGAGGACTCTCTGTTTTTCAATGTAGGAAGGTCCAGCAGATCAGTTTTAGAAACAAACAGCCAGACAATCCACATGTATGTGATTTGATTATAGTGGTGGGGGTTGTGCAGAACTGAGCACACTTTGGAAAGAGCCAAATATAGAGAATATATAAGTCACAAATGATTCAGAATTGTTCTTGTAGACAGATTCTCACCCAGTCTGTCCCACTATTTACTTATAGCTAGGAGGAGTATAAATGAATTCATACCTTTCCCAAGGGTCTTAGCACATAAGTGAATGTAATGAACTTGACTGGAATTTGAAATCTGCATTCCAAGATGGTATCCATTATTCCATGTTTCCATTTAGGTTTATAAAAAATAAAAATTTACTTAAATGAAATAGCTATTCTTTGCTGATATTGTCAAAGACTTTCCTTATATAATGTTTTAAAAAAAAAAAAATGGCTGAAAAATGAAACATATTTATATTTGATATTTTAATAATTTTTAAATAAAGTAATTCTAATACATTTATTTGTTTTAAAAGTATAGTAATTAGAAGTAGGAATATTTTAAAATTGTATTTTAATATGGTGTACTCATATTCAAACAACCCTGTTTTGAAAAAAAATCTATACAATTACAAATTTAATGGCAAAACAAAAGTGCCAAAAAACTTTTTGTCATTGAAAAAAAAGACATGCGAAAAACGGATGTTGTTATCATTTGTTGAACAGGCGCCCCCTACCCTACCTTAACTTAACTTCATTTTGAAATTAACTCATATTTTGATACAATATTTTTTTAGTGAAAATGAATACCCTACCACCTCTTGTCAAAATGATTGAATTTCCCCATATCTTTAGAAACTAATATTAAGAATGTATGTGCTTATAACTCAGCAAATTTCAACATAAGTTATTCCAAAATTTGCTTGAAAATGAAACAGTACTAGGGACTTTAATTTAATTCTATAATTTGCAGTTTTTAGTTTGTTTCTGAAATATGGTAATTCCTGTGTAGTGATGGAACCATGTTTTTAAATTAGTAAATTTATATATATAGATATTTAGGCAGCAAAAATTCTTTCAATCAAGTTTTGTTGAATAAATATTGCCAAATTTTGTCTATCCAGTATTTAAGTTTTTCAAATTTTCCAAACATACATATACCCTTGTATTGGAAATGGATTAAATAACTTAGTTTATTTTGTTTAAACATTTGATGGATGCTCATATTTGAGTAGAAGCTCTGTTTTTTTATTTAAGCAGTATTTTTTATCCAACTACATCTAACGGCCTGAATATTCAAGAAATCTTGACAGAAAAATATATGCCCTCTTCTGGGGAACCAACATTGCTTCTGATGTGCCTGACCACTCAGCCAGGACTTCTGGTCAAACTAAGCCCAAATAGTGCCTTTTGAACACACACGTCTCTGTTGATTCTCGAAACATCTATAGCTGCTCTGTATCATATCCTAATGTAAACAAAGATAATTTATTTTTAGGAAATGAATTAAATCCGATATATTGTTATTTTTAATTTATTTTGTTTAAATGAGTAGAAGATCTGTTTTTTATCCTACATCTTTTGGTCTGAATATTCAAGAAATCTTATCAGAAAAATATACTGCTGGAGGACACATATTTTACTGACAAGATTTCTCGAATATTCAGGGTTGGTAGATGTAGTTGGATAAAAAAATACTGCTTAATTAAAAAACAGAGCTTCTACTTGAATATGAGTATCCATCAGAAATAACATTTCACAGAGATGGTTTGCAAGGCTTTGTAAATATTTAGAATAACAAATTAAAACAAAATGACTTTATTAACTTTATTGACCTATTTATCAACTAGCATTGGTCCCTACTGTCAGTGGTGTCGTGTATGATGGATTCTGCCTCCAAAACATTTTCAATTTGTTCTTTAAGAGGGTCATTTCAACTGGACAGGATTCAAATGCTTCTCCGTCAACATTAAACCACATTTGCTGGCCCTGGAAAAATGGAAACAAGAAAATCTCATCAGAGATCTTTCACAGATGTTTGTGCATATAAATGATAAAAATCATACAAATTTTTAATATTTTCTTACATAAAATCTATTTTCAAAATAGTTGCTGATACTTTAATAGTCATTAACCATTAGCACATTACTTTATTTCCACTGAATTCTTTCTTATTGTTAATTTCACTCAAAGGTGTTTTCTGTTACCATAGCAGGATATGACAACACAACTATGAAATTCAAACAAATTCACTGGTAGGATAAACTTTTTGCACAGCAAATGAAATCACATACATAGTGATAAAGGTTAAGAAATAAAAGTTTTATTTTACTTCTTTTCTTTAGTCATGAAAATTCTATCACTGATCAATAAAACTTCTTTTTTTTTTGTGTGTGTTGTATCCAACAAAGAAGATTTTGGTGAAATCTAATTAAAACCATTTGAAAATATAGAAGCTAAAAAAAAAAAAAAAGTGTCTAAAAATACATGAAATTCATTTGCAATAATGGAAATTGTACATTTTGGGCTTTTAAGAAATTATTTGCCAGCCCTAAGAAAAAGGAAACAATACTTGACATCAGGAAGAGACAGTTGAAATTTCTACATCTTATAAGGAGGAAAGAGGGCTTGGAAAAGGGCAGATTGAAGGCAAGTGGGACAAAGGAAAACAATAAATAACATACTTAGTGAACTTGAGTAGATGAGTGGCAGAACAGGATTTTGGAGAAATAACAAAAATACAAAATTTATTAATGATAAATGAGCCATGATCGCCTACGTCCTGAGGGGATATGGCATATAAAAAAGTGAAAATAAATCTGGAAAAAAATAAAATCATTCACAATCCCACAGCCATTAAAGGAGATGCTGAATATCTCACAAGAAAAGTTAATCTCCCTACATTAATTCAATATAATCAAGGGAAGTAAGGCCCAAGGGCAACTCAAGGTAGAGTATTACTGAAGGCAGTTGTGAGAGTAGTAAGATTATGTTTATGCAGATATATAGAAAAAAATAAACTAGACGTGAAGAGGTTAAGATTGCAGTGGCCAGGAAAGCTATCCTCCTGGGATTCTGTTCCACAAAGCAATAATTCTTGGGAAGAAGTTATCCGAGTGGAATTTGCTCCTTACTAAAAGGAATGGTGGTTTGTCTTAATGTACACAGCATGGTGAGATTTAGGTGGGAGGTTTTGAGTTGGGAGAAATGAGGAATGTAGCTGGTTTGAACATTTTCCATGCAAATAGTGATAGAGTAGCAAGAGGCTTGCAATATTTCATCTGTGGGTAACAGGTTGTAAGGTGTAAAACAATTCATCATCTACAAGGCAGTGTAGATGCTTTTGAAATCTATCAAGAATAGAAAGTGAAAACTGGGCAGCTCCATCCCAGACATGGCAGCAGTATTCCATTTTCAGCCTGATTTGGCTCTTGTAAAGAAAAAGTATAGCATGTGGAGTCAGATACTTACTGAAGCCTGCTTGAAAGAGCACATGTTTATTGTGATAGATGGAAATTCAGGGGCTGCTCAGTGATGATGGAATGTAACAATTTGGGAATAATTCTTACAAACATAAACATCTAAGTTTAAACCAGGCTTTTGGACGTTTATCTTAATCTTTGTATTTTCTATTGTTGTATTGTAATAAATTCACCATTGCTGATCTGAACAAAATACTTTTAACCTACCTCTTTTTTCTCAGGTTTTAATCGTATTTTATGTGCCTTTAAATGTTCGTTTTGTTCCGTTCCAAACAGCAAACTCTTTGACTTGATTCGACGCCACCTGCAAAAAACAGTTTGATCTTGTTAGAACCTAGGTTAATATCTATTCAGGTAAACAAGTTATACCTTAGACCAGTGGTTTTTAACCTTTTTTGCCCAATGCACTCTTTTCACCATATGTTAGAAGGTCAGTCGTTCCTCCTCTTTCTAAGATTGTCCAACTTAAAAGGTAAATTCCTATTAATATGCATATATTATTAAAAATCTTCATCTTTTTCCATATTAGTACATAAATAGATTATTTTTATAGAGGAAAATTTGATGGGCTACAAATTCTGTAAATAAAAAAATAAGTAAATGATTCCCCCCTCCCCTCTTGGTTGAGAACCTGTCTTAGACAATACTTTATGGCCATATTTATTATATAACATAAATGTAAATTATTGTATTAACTAGGAATTCAGATGTCACAGATGAATGTTAGGTATTATATAGGTATCTCTGCTGTTTTGCTAAAATAGAGCATAGCATGATAAAAAAGGCTCCAAAACTTGATGAAAACAATCATTTTATCATCAAAATGTTTATGTTATTATTAAGAGGAAAGACCAAAGTATTTTTTTTAACTTTGCTAGCATTTTTGAAATTTTGGTTTAAAATCTTTTTTTTGTTTTGTTCATTACTATGGGAAAGTTAGAGTTTTTTGGAAGTAAAAAAAAGACATTGTTTTGTAAATTCTTGCAAAAATCAAATAATTGTCAGATTTTAATGAGATTTTCTGGACTTATTCACAAATGAATGAAATTATTTTTTAAATATCTTTTTAGAAAATCTTGGTAAAATTTTTTTTCACTGCTACTTAATTTTATGAAATTTCAAGAAATTAAATTTTGATTCACTTATTTTTATATTAGTTAAAAGCAGGACTCCTTGGAGAGTGTAAATCATCAATTTTTTTTTCAAGCATTTATTTATTTACTGAAAATATACTCCAAATTGTAAAATAAAAAAATGCAATAAAACTATGACATTATTTAATTAAAAAGTTTTTAATTGCTTTTATACATGAGATATATTAAGGACACTATTGTCTTAAGAAAAAAAATGAATTTTTACAATTGTTTTAATTTTTCTCTAAATTTTAATTATAATAATTTATAAAGTTTAAAATCTTTTAAAATTCTGTATTAATTTCTACCTTTTAGATGATAGTGTTAAGTGAAAACTATATTTACTAATCATAAATGGAAAAGCTTAATACAAATCATCACACCAAGATTTTTAAAAGAATTTTGAATTTTTTTATTAATGTATAAATGTGCCAATTTTTGTAAGTACAGTTGACCATATGCAATATTATCACAAATAAGAGTGATAACTATTGTAAATTTAAAGTCAAAATTTCTAAAATTCAATAAAACATTAGATTATGGATAATATTTTCCAAAATTTTTAAGATTACTGAGTAAAGTCTCCATAGAACAATATTAGATTTGTCATCTCATAAGTAAACACAGCTACTGTTTGGTTAAAAAATTCATTTCTGTGATATTTTAAACTCAAAAGTAAATAATATTTGTTTCAAATCAGATTAGTTATACTTTAAATTAACTAATATTCCTCAAATAAAGTTTCAGAAAAGCATATTTTATTTTTGCAAGCTTTTTAAAACCGTGAACTAACTTGTGTTTACAAATGTCTCAAAAATGGACAGCTTGACAATGTTACTGTAAAAAAAAGAAAAAGAAAAGAAAATTGATTTTAATCGATATAATTGATTTGAAATGCACTAGAATATTTTGCTTACTGGAAATAGTAAATTTAATCTTATAGCTTTCACTTAAAGCTAAAAGAAAGCATTATATCTGTGCATTATATTTTTTTTATTGCTTTTTCATGTCATTACAATAAAATAAGTTAATAGTAATTTTTATTGTGTAAACCAGAAAAACAATACATAACTTTTATTAATCAGATTTATCTTGCATTAGAAATACTTCCAAAAATTTCACGGTTTCCTTTTTTGAATTTTTTGATGAATCTTAATCCCTAAGTTAATGATTAAATAAGCTTCTCACATCTCCAAAAGCCTAAAAGATATTTTCTTGCACATGAACAAATGTAGCCAGGATTAAAGCATTAGTTAACTTTGACATTTAGACACTGTAAACACTGCACGGACATAGTTTCAGTAAAATAACAAAAACAACAAATCAGAATTAAAGATTCAACATTGGCCAATCAAATGGAGGATTTGAGAATCTAAAATCATGTTTGAGTTGAACTTATCTCTACCAATATAAGCAGAGGAGAATCAGCATTTAAGCAGTTAGCAGTATAGTGACAGACTAGAAGTAATCACATTGACAGACCAGGAAGAACATATTCTGCTTGATACATTGGCTCCATAAAATTGCATTCACTATTCATGGAGGAAGAATCTGACATGAGATCTAATGCTCCACTGATAGATAATTGGATTTTTTGTGTAAGTACAAGTTTTGCATACGAAAACCAAATACGCTCCCAAAAAGCTTACATGTGTGATTTATGAACAGTGCTGGCTATTCCCACAACAAAATAATTGCTCTGACAGAGACTCATCTTTTTTCTTTTCCACAGTGTCAGTGTTCTTCCTAATAAATAGTTGCTATAAATCAATGTTTGTGCTTATTCATGTTTCTATAATTAGAGGCTACCTTAGGGAAGACAAAACAAATTGTAGCTATCACACCCACATCCTCCTTGCAAATTTCATGACTACAAAATACCCATGGAAATTTCCCTGTTGCCTAATTAAATATATGAGATTAACAACTTTAAGAAAATATTGATATAACACTCACAAGTATGAATTATTTAAAGGAAGAGGGTACAAATGAAAAAATTTGAAATTTACATTTTTTTTCATTTCATTGAAGCAGATGTTAAGCACAAGAGGGTTATTGCCTCCTCTATCTTTTCTTTCTTTCACTGAAACCATGTTTTTCTGTCTTTCCTCACAACAATTGAAATGGAATGGTCGATTATTTATGAGGTATTGTCAGGGAATAATGGTTGTGTTAACTAATTAAGGAACAAGCAAAATGATAACATGATGCTGCACTGATTAGTTGTTCAGAAAAATATTATTAACTTGTTGACAACATAATGAAGGAAACCATTAAGTGTTTGTTTAATATTGGTTAATTCTTTATAGACTTTTATTGCAGAGGAAGAGATTAATTTAGCATGATTGATAAGGCTTCTTATGACTGCTATCTTATATCAGAAAAGACTTTCATCAGTATTAGTTTGTGTCTCCTTAATTAAGGAGACACAAACTAAAACTGATGAGTTTTCAAGTGATTAATTTCTGATGATTATTATTAATGAGGATATTAAAAAAAGGGATTTTTTTTTTTTTTTTTAGTGAGGTTGAGTTTGTATGAGAAAATAGGAATTGCTCACAAAAGTTTGCTTTAGTTTCTTTTTGTGACTGAGGACTTTTCTGAAAATGAATGTGTTGTTGATGTACCAGACATATATAGCAGATTTGTCTATTGTATTACAAAAATTATTTTCTATGAAATAATTATAGAAAGGTCCTAGAGGAGATCCCATGGCTACACCATTGGTTTGTGTGTAATTATTCCTGGATATAAGTATAGAAAATGACTTCTGTGATACAAATTAGTAGTAGTTTTCATAAAATGATTTTAAGAGGTGGGAGAGATGGAATATTATAAATAGTTTACATAATGATGTTACAATAGTATCAGTAATGGGGATATTGGTGAATAGATTATCGATGTCAAGTGAAGCTAGAATCTGGATGAATTTGTCTGTGGTGTTTATACTGTGTTTGGTAAATAGGCTGCTATTAATTCAATATTTTTTATAATTGATAGACAGGAGTGTATAGCTGGGATATAACTGAATGTAAGGGGGAAACCAGGTTTATAAATTTTTATGTTGCTGCAGAGTTATACAGGCTGTTAATCATCAACTATCTTCTGAAGTTTATTGGATGTGATCTCTACATTATTAGCGTTGATTGATGAGTTTGATTTGGGTTTTCAAAAGGCTAGGGTGAACGCTTTTTAATGTTTTGAATTTGGTGTGTTAAGATAAAATTAAATAATGTATGACAGTATGCATAGTGTTAGGAAAAAGTTTTGAAAGCATTAAGTCTCAATCATGAAAAACGTGAAGCAAAGTTACAATTCTGATATTGAAACCTCACCCTTCTTCAATAACTTCAGTTTTGCTAGGAGATGTTGGACCGATTCCAATTTGCAAGGATTTGTTGGGCTGAAAAAGAAGAGAATTCAGAATCTGAAGAAAAAATATATGGAGAAAGGAAGCAAAAATAATATATACATTTGAAGAAGAGAAAGGTATAACATTTAGACAGGTATATCAAATTACATATATATATATATATATATATATATATATATATATATATATATATATATATATATATATATGATTAAAAGGAATTGATTTATTTAGACAAGAAGTTTTGCACAGTGAGAAATCAAACAGAGATGAGATTTTTACTAATAATACCATCTACACAAGCAATCACACCAGCCACAAGGACAATAGATGGTGAGTCTTTTCCGTTTCTCTGTTTATTTCTCACACTGTTGATGAAGGACACAGGCGTGCCTGAAAATTCTGGACTTAAAACTTTAATTATTATTAAATAATTGGAGTCTCGTCCTAGCCCTACACAGGGCTAGGACGAGACTAATTATTTAATAATAATAGACTCAATATGTCTAAGTGGAGTCTCACAAGGCTAGGATGAGACTCCACTTAGACATCTTGGAGTCTATTATTATTAATATGCAATATTCTGCCCTGTGTAGACAATGGGAGATAAAATTTAAGTTGGCCCTATTCAGGGAAAATACTGCCTGAATGGGAACATATTTAATAATAATTTTTTCTTTCCCTCCTTATATGACTATTGGGTAATTTATTTTTTAATACCAATTGTTGATAATAATTTTTCTTATCAGCATCTCTGTTTTATATTGCCGATGATTCTGTTTCTGAGAAAGTGTCGTCCGAAAGGTGCCTAAAATCTTTTTCTTAAACGAGATACTTTTGTAATAAAAAAAATGATACATTTCCTTATATATATATATATATATATATATATATATATATATATATATATATATATAAGGAAAAGGATGTGTCCTGATGATTGCATATAGCATGAAACAGACTGTCGCCTCTAAGTGTTGACTTCTATGTTCACTTTTATATTTACACAGGCTCTATCTCTGATATTGAGCACTTTATCCCATAAATATAGCACACCTTAAGACTATATTTCTTCATATATATATATATATATATATATATATATATATATATATATATAAGGAAAAGGATATTTTATATATATATATATATATATAAGGAAAAGGATATTTTATATATATATAGGAAAAGGATATTTTTTTTATATATATATATATATATATATATAAGGAAAAGGATATTTTTATATATGTGTATATAAGGAAAAGGATCATATTTTATATATATATATATATAAGGAAAAGGATATTTTTTATATATGTGTATATAAGGAAAAGGATCATATTTTTATATATATATATATATATATATATATATATATATATATTTCTTATTACTATAAAGATTATTTTACTGGGTACACATATTTGAGTTGCTATTCCTGTTTTTTATTAAACAGTGAAATGAATAACAACTGGCCTAAATTGTGAAGTCCTACTAAAATTAAAGCCGTGTGTCATAAAGAACATTCATTCCAATAAGATTCCAATGACTATCCTAGTAAAAACAGGCAGAAAAAAAGCAACTATCCAGAATGGATCATCTAAAAGTAAATGATTAAACATGTGTAAATTTTTATTAACTTCAAACAATCATAACTTGACAACTACTTGGAATTGGCACAAAGTAACACTAATTTTGAAATCCCAAGTCTGTCTACTTTCAGACTAAATATAAAGAACACTTTGAAAATGTTCCTAAAATACCAGATCTCCATTTGTGAGACAAACTTGTTCTTGCTCAGTGGTCAACATCCTCAGACATGAAGAATATTATTTCTTATTTTATTTTCTTTAATTTTCATTAATTGTCATTTATCTCTTTGGATTTGCTTTAAGATAAACAGATTTTAATCACTACACACTAGACTGGCAAATTCTCCATGTTCTAAAACATCAAATTCTGTGTTCTTCCAATTTTCTGTTTTTGTTTCAAAATCATAAAAACACAGGAAAAACAGAGACTTGTGTGTAAACAGTAAAATATACAAATATATAGCCTACTTATATAGGCATCTTTATTTTTTTTGTGCTTCAGTGGTTTGTGATGATGCACAAGCATAACCCTCAGAGTCCAATCTACAGTGTGTTGACAAAAACTGCAAAATAATTTATTGCCACATAAAAAATCATCACAGAAAGCTGACTCTTCTGCTATATATTTTGTCAAAAGTGTGCATCCACCAAGATTGCTGGCTTTTTGTTTACTCATCCTGAAAGATAAACTGGCATTTAAAAATCTAATTTAATTACTAAACAAACAACAACTTTCATTTTTACTACTCTTGTTGGCTTGTGCCACACTATTCATATGCTAATATCACATGTGGCTATTTGCCCCATGGTGAGCAGCAGTGACTGGTTTGGACAGGTTAATATCATGAATTAGGTTATGGCTCCATGTTATTTATAGAATGACATGTTACATCAGTATAGGTCATAGCACTTGTGCATAAGAGACTGACTTTTCTATGTATTGCAAATTTATGCAAAATAATGATTCTGTCATGTTCCAGCTCAGGAATTTTAGATTTTATTGTTAGAATATTTTATTTTATAGTAGCAAAAATCCACTTTACTGTGATTTTCTGTGTTTTTCATTTTTTACTTTATTTTTTAGTTTTTTTTCTCCCCGTTTTCCATATCATGGAGGACTTGCCACTCTATTATCCACTGAACATCCTTCGTCTTTTTCTAAATACTCACACTTACACCTTCATAATAATTGCTGGACATTACAGTCAGCTCAACAGTAGACAATTCTCGTTTCACCCAATCTTCTTCAGTTATTTGATAAACTTCTTCATAATCTTCATCTACAAAATAAAGAAAGAGATGAAATATTAGACCAGATAAAGAAACAGGTAAAATCTTTTACCAGAGATTTTTTCATAGTAATTTGGATTACCAACTGAGAGTACTTGAGACCATTTATTAAGTCTAAACAGCCTTCCCTCTGTTAGCAGAAGGAATGACTACTTGGTTGTTTAAGAGTCGATAACTAGTTTCTTTTTTGCAGTTATATTTTTTAATCCACCACTTTTGTTTTAAATATTTTTTGTATACTACTTTTAAAATATACATTTTTGAAGCCCTAACAGACTTTTGTAACCTCTGCACATTATTTTGATAAAATATTATACACAAATTAACACATTATACACACCACTGTACATCAATTATTTAATAAAACACATTTTCTTTTTCTTCTAACTAGTTGGAGGTGGCTGATAAGATTATCTCTCAATTAATTTTGTTTTTGTTTCAGTGTCTTCTGGCAGTGAAAGTAAAGATTTGTAGACAGTCATCACTTAAGGCAATACAGATAATAATTGCCCTGGCATTGCTGATACATATTATTTTGCCTAAAAAGTTAAAAAAAAAAACAACAAAAAAACCCCAAAAAAAACACATTTTCTCATGAATATTCCTTAGTTTTTAAATAAAAGTTTTAAAACGTTTCTTTTTGTACTTTGATTAAAACTAGTTAATTAGTATATTATAATTAATATATTTCTTAAAACAAAATAATTAGTATATTATAATATAATGTATAATTATAATATATATAATTAATAATAATATATTATAAGAATAATTATATTATAATATATATAATTTATATATATAGTTAATATGTATAATAATATGTATAATTTATATATATATATATATATATATATATATAGTTAATAATATGTATAATTATAATTATGTTATAATTAGTATATTTCTTAAAACAAAAAACACATTTTCTCTTGAATATTCCTTAGTTTTTAAGCTAAGACAATAATAAAAAGTTTTAAAATGTTTCTTTTTGTACTTTGATTAAAATTAGTTAATTAGTATATTTTCTAAACCAATGTATACTTTGCGATATATGTAATTTCTAAAGAATTAATGAATTTATTTTTAATTCAGCATTTTTAAAACTTCAACTGTTATTATAGTGAAAACTCGTATTTAAAATAGAGGCCTCATTTTTATTTATTAAACAGTGTGTAATATGTCTACTGGCCTGTGCATTTGAGAAAATATGCTCTCCAGCAGTGTTCAAACCTGTGCCCCATCTTTATAGGAGAAACCATCATTTGATTTGGCATGCTTTACTGCTTGGGAATGAAGAGTGTCAAAGTTCAGCAAGGCCCCTATTTTTCCAATTTTAGGAAAGCACAATTAAAAAACAATCTGAATGAGGAAGTGTGCTTTCCTTAAATTGGGAAAATAGGGGCCTTGCTGAACTTTGACACTCTTTGTAGCCGAACAGTAAAGTATGCTGGATCAAATGGTGTTTTCTCCTACAAAGACAGAGGTGCAGGTTTGAATCCTGCTGGAGAGCACATGTTCCTTATTAAGATTTCTCAAATGTGCAGGATGATAGATGCAGTACACATGGTTTTAAATAAAAATGGGGCATCTATTTCAAATACAAGTATCTGCTATAACATTCAAAGTAATAAAAATATGTGATATTTAAATGAAAATAATTGCTTTTTTATTTTTAAACATTTCGGCAATTCTAGAATTTGTTAGTTACAGACTGACTGTTGTAAATTAAAGAAGAAAATATCAAAAGTGATGAACAACAAGTTTTGAAATTAAACAAATTTGCCTTTGACAGGGAAAAAATAATTGACAAACGTGGTCTTTCATGCCCACAAAAAAAAACAGTGTCAAAAGGGCAGTTTTTCCATTGACATCACTATTATTTTAACTACTTTCACTCCTCGGCAAAGTTTATTGTTTTAAAAAGTGATTATTAGAATTTTATTAAAACCTAAACATATGAAAGTGAATTTATACATTTTTTTTGTTCTTGAGAATTGAAAACAAAAATAATAAATACTATTTATATATTAGATTGTTTATTGGAATGGTTGGAAAAACATTGGATAATTGCCAATTAATTTGAACTTTATAAAATGGTAAATAATAAAGATTTCCTTATAGTTGGTTCATATGTTTTAATAATTTAGAAAATGTTTTTAAATTGATAAATAATCTAATAAATAAATAGTATTTAATATTTTTGTTGCAAATTCTCAAGAACAAAAAAAAAATGTATAAATTCACCTGCATCATACGTTTAGGTTTTATTAAAATTTTAATCATCGCTTTTTAAAGCAATAAATATTGCTGTGGCATGAAAGTAATTCGTGGTGTCAAGGGGAAAACTGTCCTTTTGTGGTCATGAAGGTCCATGTTTGCCAAATAATTCTTGCTTAGTTTTAGAGAAGAGAAAGATGAAATTTGCTTCAAGTTTTTCAAATTGTACAAAATGCTGAAGAGACGTAAAAGAAACAATGGGCTAAATTTAACTTAGAACAAGCAAAGAAAAAAAAAGGTGTCAAAAGTATTATTTTTTCTCTTGACACCACTATTACTGTATAACCCCCCTCTTAAATTTTTATTGTTTTAAAATGTTTCATAACATATGAAACAGAATTTATACATTTTTTTCCTCAAGAATTAACAAAAAATCTTTAAAATATTTATTCAAATGTTTATTTACAAGATTATTAATTTATAATCATAAGTAACCAGAATATGAAAATTAAAATTTATAATTACAGTTGATATTATATGTTTATTTAAATATTCTTGTTTTATTGTTACACAATTATTGTTAAGACATTTTTATAACTTTATGAATAAAAAATTATTTTCATAGTTATTTCTTTGTTTGTTGGTTTAGCAGCATATCAACACCTTATGGGTCATTTAATGCTGAAATTTAATTTTCTTTGGAGCATTAGTAATTTCTTTTACAAAAGTGTAATGCTGGTAAATATTTTTTTTTTGTAAAAATGTATTGTTGGTAATTTTTTTTCTTATCATTTTTTACAAAAAATGCATTGCTAGTAGTTTTTTTCCTAAGAAAATGTATTGCTGGTATTTTTACTATAAAATTTTTTATACTTTCTTCGTGTTTTGACCCCAATTTGCAGGTTAACTATTTACCCATAGCTGGGACCCTAACAGGGGCTACCACCCCGGGTCAGAGTGGACCTGAGAACAACAGCAGTTAAGAGGTGGTTCCACACTCCTCAAAACCTCCTGATCAGAGGCCTTGCTGCTGGATGTAGTTTCTCATCATACCCAATATGGGTTATTTCTTTATAATATGGTAAATAATAAATATTTAAATATAGTTTTGTTAAATTCTGTGCTAAGGGAATAAATAATTAACACCAGGTGGATAATAGAAGAAAGGTTTATTGTACCCAACCAGTACAGTATGAAATACAGTAGTTATACACACAGGTCAATCTAGTAGTGAGTGCCACTAATTGAAAGGTCGGACGTGCTTGCGTCGTCTTGCTCTCATTCTTCCTCAAGTCTTTTGTAGACCGTTGACTTTATAGGTACTTACTACCTATAGTGTAATCATTCATGGGGGTGACTAGTTATTCCATTACATCAAGTTTGGTTTCATATTTTTTATAATCTTGTAAATAATTAATTTATTGTTATAGTTCACAAATTAAATTCTAGACTCTTGTAAAAAATAGTTATTTTTTCACATCTTTCTTTTATAAACTTATAAATAAACAATTGAATTGAAATGTTTAACATTTTGACAGTTTTTTTTGCTTGGTTTTAAGTTAAACTTTGCCAAACTATGATTTAGAATTATGGGCACAAAAATGCAATAGAAATACATGCTTAGAACTTTTTCATTTTTTTCAGGATTGGCCACTTACCTTTGGGAGGAATTCTTGATTTGTAAAAGAAGCTAAATAATGACCACTTATTTCTTTGCTCAATTTCCTTCACCTTTTCTTCAGTGAGGACTCTCTTTATTCTGAGGGGCACCATAGCTGGAATGTACTCCATATCTAGTTTCACATCAGGTGGCCATTTGTTCATTCCAGTGCGAAGATAGGTCCAACGTGACTTCAGAGGTCCAAAATACCAATACCTACATACAAAATAAGAACTCTATACTGAAAAAGGATCTATTTGTCAAAGATGGGGAAGCAAAACTGCTGCAACCTTTGAAACTTGCATATTACGTATAAATAGATCTACAAATATGAAAAAATAGTAATAAAATTTATAGATAATATAAAAATAAATGGTCCATTCAATATGGCTTCTATTGTTTTTAATTTCAAACTCAACACAACCTTCAAAAAGTTATGTTTAAATCTCCAAATTCTTCACTTAGAATTGTCCAATGGAACAATAGCCTATTGGATGAAAGCATTGGTTCATTAATTTGGTAACATAGTAATTGTGAGTTCAATACCTGGGCCAGACTTGTCCTCAGCAGATTGATTTGATTTGTTTTTTACAGTTTAATACTTCGTTCATTGATTTGTTTATTCATTTTTTATGGCTTATCAATCCTTTGCAGGTATTTTAAAGCCAGAAATATTTTTAGATTGTAAAATTTCTTTTTTTTTTTTTGAGATAACGGTTCAGTAATATGTCTTACTAATTAACCCATAGCTGGGGAGAGAAGAGGTGGATTCATACCTTTCTCAAGGGAATTTGTGTGTAAGTGAATATAATGAATCTAATTGGAATTGGAACTCAGCTCATTATCTATTACACTACTCACCCATCCAAGCTTAAAGCTCCGGGTATTCCCAAGCAGTCACCCATCTAGGTACTGACCAGGCTTGATGTTGCTTAACTTAAGTGATCGTATGGCAACTGGTGTTTCAACATGATGTGGCTATAAGTCCTGCTTTTTTTAAAGACTCACTTGGTTGAGCAAAGAACTTTTCAATGTTTCCTCATAGATTGATTGTGGAACTCTTTTCTGGCTTTTTGATCTCCATTCGACTTTGACCTTCAAAAATTTTAAGGCAATGTCAATCGTGATCTTTTGTCTTATTAATTCCTCTTGTTCCTTGTTTACTCTCCTTAATAGTTTTTCTTTTCTTCATATTTTTCGCACTCAGTAATCCCTTGCATCTTAGTAGCTTTATTGCCTTACTTGGTGTGAAATGATAAAAACAAAAAACAAAAACAAACACTACTCACTTTGATTTTCGTTCTTCAGCATCATTATAAACACCAAGTTGCAAACCTGACAATGCATAAGTATCTTTACCATCTTCTGCCTATGGAAAGAAAAAAAATCAAAATGTACACTTAATATACTTACGTCTTCACTGATTATATGTATAGACATTTATATACATTGACGATCCATTCAAATGTGGATTGGTGTGTGACCAAAGCGAGGAAAATAATATGACAGAAGACAAGTGCATGATGTGGTATCATTTAAAATTAAAGTTGCTCTTCTCTTACATTGGTTGCTCTACCAAAGGAAAAAAGTTAAGTATACCCTAGTATTTTACACATACCTGGAGAAAGAGACAAGATTGTTTCATTCTTTTCCCAATGGAGTAAATGCCCTGCCCATAGTCGATAAAGTAATTCAGCCTACCACACAATCACTACATTAGTTCTTGAAAATGTCTGAGACAGTTGAAAGTACATAGACAAAACAACATCAACTTTAGACAGTTTATCTACAATTTCAAGCACAATACTCAACACCTTACATGAAAATAGGAAAAATACAATAAAAAATTAAACAGACACACCTTGTTAGTTCTTCTTAAACCTGTTTGGATCTATAAGTGAACATTGAAGTCAACACTAAGAGGTGACAGGCTGTTTCATGCTAGATGCAATCATCAGGGTGGCCTGATGATTGTGTCTAGCCTGTCGCCTCTGAGTATTCAATGTTCACTTTTATATTTATATTTACATATGCTGTATCTCTGATATTGGGCACTTTATCCCATAAATATAACACACCTTAAAACTATATATATATATATATATATATATATATATATATATATAAATAAAGAACAATCAGATTAATAATCCAGTTCTTTAGCATTTATTTTTTAAAAAGTGCTCGGTACAAAGTAGAGCATAATATTATAATTATTTAAAAATATTTTTTCATTGTGACACAGAAATTTCAATGTTTCAGAATGAAAATTATTGTTCCATTTTCAAGCGATATTCAATAACTTCAGAAAAAAATGATTTACTTTTGAAAGCAAAGTAGTATTATATTGAAGAGTTTAAGTAGGAAGGGGAATAGGTTTTCAAAATTATTTTTATGGGTGTTGTCTTATTTGATGAATCCAAAGACAGAAAGTTGAAGCAGAAAAGTGAAACAATGTATGTTAGAGATTAGGTGGGGGATGTAAATCATGTTTGTCTCGATGAGCCATCTTGTATTAGACATGTCACCATTGCTTCCTGTTTAGAACATAATCATGAGATACATTAAAAATAATACAGAGAGTTATATGTATTGAACAATGGGTTAATTTTGGCATTTTATTTTTTAAATTATTTTTTTATACACTTTAGGACTGTCTTAAAGGAGCCTCTAGTATGATTAAATCATTTTATTATATATTTAATTATTATGATCTGAAATGCAATACTTATATTCACTATTAGATTACACATGGCAATGTTAAAAATTAAAAATCAAGGAATTAAGTAAATATTATATGCACCATTATATGTAATCAAATAGATATATAATCATAATGTAGAGATTTTTTTAATAAAAATCCTATTAATTATGTTTTAATGTGAACATGGTACAATGCCTACAAAAAATGGTTAGTTGTTTTTGATGAGTTACTAAATCTTTATTTTTAAGAAACTTAATAATATATAAGTTTTCATATAGGTATAGGGCATGGATCATTTAATGACCTAAAAATTCTTGTTTTTTTATTAATTTCCATTTTTTATTAATTTCCATTTTACTGTGGATGTTTTATTTGTTTCTTTTAAATACCAAAAAAAAAAGTATTTAAAAGAAACAAATAAAAAAGTATTTAAAAAAACAAATTAAAAAAAATATTTAAAAGAAACAAATAAGAAAAGTATATTCTACTTTAATTTAGAGTTGTCTTTGGATTCGTCAAATAAGGCAGCACCTATAAAAATTATTTTGAAAACTTATTCTGCCTCCTACTTAAACTCTTCAATACTACTTCACACTCAAAAGTAAATCATTTTTATTCTGAAGTTATTGAATATCGCTTGAAAATAGAACAATAATTTTAGTTCTGAAATATTAAAATTTCTGTGTTGCAATGAAAAAATAATTTTAAATAATAATATTATAGAATAATAATATTATAGAATAAAATATATATATATATATATATAAAGAAATATAGTCTTAAGGTGTGCTATATTTATGGGATAAAGTGCTCAATATCAGAGATAGAGCGTAAGTATAAAAGTGAACATAGATTTGCAAGGTGGCCAGATGATTGCATATAGCATGAAACAGACTGTCGCCTCTAAGTGTTGACTTCTATGTTCACTTTTTACTTTATATATATATATATATATATATATATATATATATATATATATATATATATATATATATAAATTTTTTAAAAAAAAATCTATAACATAAATATGTTATAAAATCACTACAAAATAGCTATTTTGTTTCAACACCCTCGGTGTCTTATCAAGTGATGATGTTGAATATAAAAAAAAATCATCACTTGATAAGCCACGAGGGTGTTGAAACAAAATAGCTATTTTTGTAGTGATTTTATAACATATTTATGTTATAAATTTTTTTATAAAAATAATTATATCTGCTCTACTTTGTATTGAGCACTCTTTTAAGAATAGTAATTGTTGGTTATTGGAATTCATTCTGTATATACCAATTATATACTTTATATATATATATATATATATATATATATATATATATGATAATTAAAACATAAAATTTGTCACTTAGCTGATTGACATTATATTCAGCACCTCTACTCAAGATTTTCATAGATGAACCTTTGTTTAATTGTTATGGCCACTTGTCAGGATGTGCAGAAAATGTCTGTTATTTTTTTTGTTTTTGTTATTTTTATATTAATTTAAAAAAAAATTATGTGCATTTTATTGGTCTTAGGGTGATTTTTCTTATTTGTGTGCATGTGTGTGTATGTCTGTATGTATGCTTATGTGCATGTGTAGGGTTTTGTGGTTATTTATTCTTTTCATAAACAGATATATGAAGATAGCTCTCCATCTGCAATGATGTGGATGGCTACCAAAGTTGCAACAGATGAGGTGATTCCCACCTATCTTTTAGAATTGCAATGACAATTGGACACTTGATTTTAACCATTCATAACTTGTGCTACACTATGTGGTCTCTCAGTATCAGACAGTGACAATGACAAAATCCAGTCAAGATAATTGGAGGTTACCTGTGCCATATATGATTCACAGGACCATTAAACATATCATGATGATATGACCTCTGCCATTGCTTACAGTTTTAGGTATTCCCAAGTTGTCCTCATCTAAGTAATGATGTTGCTTACCTTTGGTGATTGAATAAGAACTTGTGTCTTCAGCATGATTTGATGGTAAGCACAAGCATGAACATGAGACTTTTATTATATACAAAAGAATAAAGAAGCAACTCTGCCCCTCTCTAATTAACCTAGAAAACTTAGAAGAGTAACTTTCCTTTACTTTTTGATACAGACATCACCATCACTTAATCTTTCATAAAATCACTGCAATGTCTGAGAGACATTTTTTATAGAAAAAAAAAAAAAAAAAAAAAAAAAAAAAAAAAAATTGTGGTCTCTAGAAAGAAATCTTTCTGTTGTTCATCACATCAACTTAATTTTAATTATGAAATTGTCTGCTAGTCCTTTAAGCTTAACCCTTTGAGCCTTGACCACCGCTTTACTGGTGGTAGGGAAAAATGGTGTAATGCCCAGTCACCGGTTGAACAGTGGTAGAGAAAAATGACTTAATGCCTGGCCACTGGTTGAATGGTGGGTAAACACTTGTAACTATTTTTATATCTACTGTGAAACATTACATACCAATTATTTGAGAATTTTAACTCAGGAGTTCAGGAAGAAGGGTCAAAATTGTTCAGGAAAGCAGGGGTCAAAGGGTTAATTATGAAATTGTTCACCAGTCCTTTAAAGTTAATTATCAGATTGTTCCTCATTCCTTTAAAATTTCTTCAGGGTTGTGATTTGTTTTTGATTACTTCAAAGGAAAGACTTAGTCACTGAAAACTTACTTTGATTTCAAGGACATCAACAGGTTTAACTGTTGCTTCAACAACAGCCATAGCAGCATCCATAATGAATCTAAAAGAAATAAAAATATCGTATTAAAAGGATGAGTAGAAATACGTGAGTTTCTTTTACGGGTTGAAGAAGATAGAGAATGTAATGATTATATACCTCACTTGATTTGGATCTTCACCAAAAAGCCTTCTTGCAAAGCGGTTTGTTCGTCCTAAGGGTAGAACCCCTAAAGTGATATTTTGACAAAAAGCCTGTAATTAAAAAAGATTTTATGAATTAATAATGAAATAATTAGGATTAATCAATGATCAATTACATAAACATCATAGAATAAATAAATTAATATTGAAGTAACCATCATTTCTTCATCTTTGTGTCTTGTTACTTTAGGATTTTGGTGATCATGGCTCTCCATTTGTAGCTCTTAATTAGTTTTTTTTTTTTTTCGCTATCTCTCCCAAACTCTGCTCTGCCATCCATTCAATCAAGCTTGCTTGGTAGATTATGCACTATTCCTCTTGCCTTCAATCTTTTCTGTATCTAATTTTACAAACCCTTTTATTTCATAATGTGCCCTCAATATTTCAACTGTCTCTTCCTGATTTTAAGAGTAAGTGTCCTTTTTGTTTTCATTATCATTAGAACTTTATTGTTGCTCACATATCCGGTTCATGACAATCTTCTGTAGAACCACATTTTGGTTGCTTCAAGACTCTTCTTCATCTCTGAGGAGATTGTCCCGCATTCACTGCCATATAAGAGAACTTATATTACGTAACAGTTCAGTATTTTTTTTCTTTGTTTTTAACAAAATTTTTCTGTTTCTTAATACTTTACTTAGCTTTTGGAAGGCATCTTTTGTTATCCCAATGCGCCTTTGGATTTCCGTATCACACTTTCAGTCCTCCACCAAAATACTTCCCAGATATTTAAATTGTTGTACTTGTTTGATTTTGGTATCTCCAATTTGTAATTTATGTGTTAGGCTCATTATTTTGCTAACAACCATGCATTCTGTCTTGCAATTCTTCTCGCTTTCCTTCACTATGTTCCGTTGGAGTTCTGGTAATTCTTTTTCTGTAACTGCTATCAACACTGTATCCTCTGCATGTCTTGCTTTGTTAAGATTGTGGCTGTCAATAACAAATCCTGGTAGGACTTCTAATTCTCTAAGAATTGCCTATTTAATTCATTAAATGCCTATTGTAAAATCCAGTATTAACAATAAAAATAAAAATCTAATATTAATTGTAGGTTTCTAAAACAATCTGGAATTAGTATCTGTCTATATTTCTGAAATGAGGTATTATATACACTATTTACATTGCTTGGACTATCATCCTCATCTTTGTTGTCATATTTATCACAACATTTCGGCCGTTATATGCTCCGGCCTTCTGCTGGTTGGAATGTTGAACTGTACAGTCCTCAAGGACACATAGCACAGTGGATAAAGGCTTTAGTTAGATCCAGTGAGAGGACCCAAAAGAGTGTGAGTTCAATACCTAGTTAAGGTGGTGGAGAACTTGGAGAGGGGTAATTAACAGGAGATAACTGATAACTGACATCCATTAGACATGGCACGTGGAACTAGAACAGTCTACCCTAGTGTGCGAAATCAAGGGTTCAGTTCGACATTTCAACCACCTGAAGAAGGCCGGAGTGTACAATGGCCAAAATGTTGTGATAAATATGGCAACAAAGATGAGAATGATAGCCTGAGCAATGTAAATAATCTGGAATTAATTATAAAAATACAATTTTGGCTTTAATTAGAAAGAACAAAAATCCAGTTTTAATTATGTAAAGTAAAAATCTAGTTTTAATTATGAAAAGTAAAAATCTGGTTCTAGCTACAAAAATTAAAAGAAAGATCTGCTATTTATAATAGATTTTTGTTTGAATTTCTGGAATGAGGAATTCTAATCATTTACACGGAACAATCCTGAAGCTAAAGGATTAAAGCACATTGGTTCATACATTTTGTGGCATAGTAATTTTGAGTTCAATTCTTGGGTTAGGTAGTACAAACTCCAGGGAAACGGGACTAGCAATTCCTGGATATAGACAGCAGAATGAGAACAATCTACCCCTGTAGATTAAATAAAGAGTTAGAATTCCCTGGAAATTAACCAGATTGATAGATACCTGAAAATGGTTAAAGGACACAATGACTGAAAATTTATGATAATAAAAAAGGTGAAGACATTAGTCTGGCTGTAATTAATATCATTATAGGTTTCTAAAAATCCTGTATTAATTACAGATGTCTATTGGTTTGGTTTTGTTTTATGGCATATCAACCTCAATGGGTTATTTAATGCCGACAAAATTTTTATTGCTGGTAATATTTTGCTTTGTCAAAAATCTATTCTGGTAATACTTTTTCCCTCAAAAATGTATAGCTGGTAATATTATTTTAAAAAATGTATTGTTGGTAATATTTTTTTCAAAAAACGTATTGCTGGTAATATATTTTCAAAAATATATTGCCTGTAATAGATTTTTTTCCTTCAAAAATTTATCTCTGGTAATAATTTTTTTACAAAGTATTTCTCGTATTAAAACCTATATTTAAACTTTCATAATGCTTTTTACCTCAGTTTCAGAGTTAACTATTTGCCCATAGCTGGGACCCTAACAGGTGCTATCACCCCAGGTCAGGGTGGACCTGGGAACACCAGCAATTAAGAAGTGGTTCCACGCTTCTCAAAGCCTCCTGATCAGAGGCCTTGCTGTTGGACATAGTTTATCGTCTTACCCAGGATGAGGATGTAGTTTATCGTCATACCCAGGACGGTGAACAGATGTTGAATTCAAAAATGTATCCAATAAATAAAATTAATGCATACACCTTCTGAAAACTCTCATTCCTGCCAAAATGTTCCCATTTAGCATGACACTAAAAAATCTAACACCTATTAAGTTGGTGCAAACATAATTGTTTTCTTTTTTAAGGAACGTCAAAGCACTCTGGGTTTAGAATGATGTTTATACAGTAAAATAAGAAAAATTAAAAGGTACACATTGTTGCCAATTATAAACAAGTCTCTTTATTCTGAAAGCATAGAATTCTGGAGTTTTGGAACTAACAAATACATCAAAGTTACTTTAGGCAGCTACTTGTTTGCTAAAGATTATCTCTAGCAGAAAATTGTCAAGTTTCTTGAAAAAGTATGATAGTTGATTGTATAGTGCAGGTTGAGTTCAGGTGAGTAAGCTGGGTGAAGTAGTTTTGTTGTTTTGGCTCGTTCAGTTCCTGAAGAGTCGTGTGCAAGATATTCAACCAGACATTGTCATGGAAAAGAACTGATTCTTTTCATGTGACCAATGTTGGATGTAAATTTTGTAATCCTTGGGGCATTTTCTTGTGTTCTTTGCAATACTTTTTTGTTATCGTTTCGCTAAGATTCCAGAAGTTGAAGTGGAAGCTTCTACTTTTTTGACTGCCAAACAATAACCATAACCCTCTTTTGATGCAGCATTGGTTTAGGGAAAAAGCATAATATCTGTTGAAAAGGCGGATGAACCACCTTAGAGAGTCAGTGGCCATCTAAAATACAAGTTTCCTAACCAACTGCTTTTTAGGTGGCCTTGACTGGGCAAAAGCTAAGGTCAATAAACCTAAATAAATCCAACCAGTATATGGTATCTGAACAGCATTACAGAATTCATAAGCTGACCCTGAATGGCAAACTACTGGTTAGAAGACTTCATGGAAAGCTTTCACAAAGATACAGAGACAGTTGCAAGAATTTGAAGGGTCAATATGCCTTCAGCACCCAGATTCTTTAGTGAGCAAGCCAACACATGGCAATGATGTCCTATGCCCCCACACACTTGCTTCCTCCTAGAAATGATGCTACAAGTACTGCCTTCATATAATAAAATGAGATAGAAAAAAAAAAAAAGAAAATTTTTCACTGTTGAAGCATTCTATATGTTAGGGTCTGGAGAAGTGAAGCCAGAGATGAGACAAAACACACAAGATGCTGCAACCTGTCAACTGTTTATGTAAAGATGGTGCTGCTGCTGTTCTGTGCATCGTCACCAGCATTTTAATCCTTCTTTAGTGCAGGTATCTCTATTTCCTCCTCCTTGCCAGGAGAAAGTATTTCATGCCAAAGTTTCGGAAAATGCTGTCTTAGAGCTTGGACCGAGAAGTCATATGAGGAGTCATTAGTGACAACAAGTATGACAAGCTCAAAAGTTCCAATAACAAAATTCAAGCCAACCAAAAAGTGGTGACATCATCATCAGACTACTTCTGGTTGACTGGAGAGTGTGGGAGACATGAAAGATTAGTTGGATGATTTTGTGTAGTGGCATATCAACCTCTATAAGTTATTTAATGCTGAAATCTAAATATTTGGAACACATTTTTATGGTTTCAACTAAATATTTGTTATAAATAGGTATTGTTGGTAATTTTTTTTTATATTAAAAGGTATTTTTATACTTTTACAGTGTTTTGTTTTTATTTAGGGGTTCACTAATAGGTGAACCTTGGATCAGGGTGGACCTGGAAACAACAGCAATTAAGAGGTGGTTCCATGCTCCTCAAAGCCTTCAATTTCCTGATCAGAGGCCTTGCTGCCGGATGTAGTTTATTATCATACCTAGGACTAGAAATCAGTGGCAGGGTGGACCTGGAAACAACAGCAATTAAGAGGTGGTTCCACGCTTCTCAAATCCTCCAATCTTCTGAGCAAAGGCCTTGCTGCCAGATGTAGTTTATTGTCATACCCAGGACTAGCCAGGAAGGGTTAAAATGACAAATACAAAAAATAAAAAATACTGACTTACCTTGTCTTTCTTTCGCATTATACCAGTCACTGTCTGGAAAACGTAAGAGAAAATGCATCAATCAGCAGAAATGAAAATCAATTTGAATTAGATAGACATATAAATATGAAGATCAGATATCTAGTCTTTTCTGTCTACTATTGTGGCATACTAGTTTCAAGACCATGGACATAACTGGGAATAGTAAATCAGAAAGGGAGAATTGGATTCATGCCTTTTCCAAAGGTATGAATCCAATTCTTTGAGTGTAAATAGAAATCAATTTGTTGATTCTGTTTTTTTAAGCCAAGAACTCCTACGTCACCTTGTATGAGCAATCCATAATCACCTTACACGTTCAGGTAAGAGGGGCAAACATAAGAGCAAATGTCATTTGTCTAAAATCTGGCTTCACTGAGATCATTAATAAACTGAATGATTCATTTTACCGAAAAAAAAAAAAAAGAAAATTAAAGGGAGGTAACTTTTATATACGGATAGAATTTTCATTATCACTTAAAAATTTGGTTGTTTATTTACGACAATGAATACCTTTTTCTCCATAAATTAATCACTGCAGTCTTTATTCATAATGTTGCTTAATATTTTAGTTTTTATTCTAGAAACGAGCAAAAATAAAAATGACAAAAAGCAAAAACCTCTTTAAATATTTGTCCTATCCAAAATACACGTGATATTTTAATTTTTTCTGTGTAATTCACATTACTACTCTATTTGTTTTAAAATATTTATATTTTAATCGTTTTGTATTTATACTTTATTTTCGTTGTCCGTAAAAAAAGACAATTTCCTGGCTTTTAGGTACCTGAACTTGCTCGCTGGAAAAACAGCATAGCATGAGAAAAAAAAAGGCTCCAAACTTAATAAAAGTAAAGTTTTATCGTCAAAATATTTATGTTATTATTAAGAAGAAAGATCAGAGTATTTTTTTTTTTAAATATTTTTAATCTTTTCTTGCACGTTCTAAATTTTGGTTAAAAATCATTTTTTTTTTTTTAGGTCAGCGATTATAGCCGACGTGTAATATTTACAATTTTTTTCAGGTGAAAAATATTGATTTGCAGAAATCAAATAATTGTCACATTTTAATGAAACTTTCAGGACTTATTCACAAATGAATTAAATTATTTTTTAAAAAAAAATGTTAGTAATTTTTTTTTTTTTTTAACATATATTACTCCTACCCCCATTTACTTAATTTCATGAAATTTTGAGAAATTATATTGCAATCTCAAAATTTGTTTTAAAAGCAGGACTCTATGGAGAATTTATTATCAGTTTTTTTTTGTTTTTTTTTGTAAAAGAGGACCCCCCAGTTTCCGAAAATCTGCTCTGAATTGTAAAATAAAAAAATGCATATGACATTATTATTTAATTAGAAAAGATTTTAGTTGATTTTATAAATAAGATTTATTAAGGACACTGTTGTCTTAAAAAAAATTCGAGGAATAATGATTTTTTACAATATTTGTTTTCATTTTTTAAAAATTTTAATTATAATAATTTAAATTGTTTAAAATTCTGCATTACTTTAATCTGGTTAGGTGATATTCTTATTAAGTGAAAACTCCATTTATGAATCAAAAATTGAAAAGCTTAATAAAAGTAGTTTACCTCCAATATTTTAAAAATAGTTTTAATTTTTTTTAGTGTAGAAACATTCCCATTTTCATAAGTATGGATGTCCGTCACGTGTTTTAAGAGTTGTCTCCCTAAAAATTTGGCCATCTGCAATTCTTTCATTTTCATTTTTGTGTTTCATCGTGTTTTTACATCTCAACAGTCTTTACAAATTATCCTTTCAAAATTTTAAACTTTAAAATTTACAGTAATTTTTACATATTTTCTTTTCTATTTCACTACTAAATATTTTTATTTTATGTATTTATTTTAGTGAAGGTCATACTTCAATTAATTTTTTAAAAGTTCCACTTAGTTAAAGAACTTGGAGACGAAACCTATAGTTTTACAAAAAAAAAAAAAATAAAAAAAAAAATACTTTTTACTTTAAATTTTTCTTATTAAATTTCTATTTGAAGTTATTATTTTTTAATTTGCGTGTCATTTTGAAATTTCGTTTCAAATTACTATTTTATAAAAATGTTTTTTTTTGTTAGTAGTTTTTACATTTTTTAAGTTTATTCTTTTTTGTGAGAGTTATTTTAACAAAAAACGTAAGGCTATAAATAAATATATAAGTAACTAAAAATAAAATTTAATAAAATATTAGATAATTGCTGAAAATATTGTTAAGTTTAAAAAATTACTCATGTAGCTAAAATCCAAAAACAAAGTATTCACTTAGATTTCGTAAATGTATGTCAATTTCTGGCCAACCATATTCAGCTTTTCAACACCTTAGGCTGCTAATCAATCGATTAACATATCAGAAAAACAAGGCCCCATTGGTTAAGAAATGTTTGTATAGTATGTTTTATGCTATAAGTAAGTAATATTTATTTCAAATCAGATTAATTTAACTTTAAATTTAATAATTTTTCTTAAATAACATGTTACAAATACATATATTGTATTTTTGCAAGACTTTTAAAACCGGGAATTTACTTTTGTTTACAAATCTGTCAAAATGGCCAATATTTATCGATTTTTGGAAAGCGGCCAAAAAGTTGAGATTCCAATCAATATAATTTCTATTTGAAATACACCAGAGTATTTTGCTTACTGGAAATAGTAAATTTAATCATTTAGCTTTCAATTAAAGCTAAAAAGAAAACTTCAAGAATGTTTTTTTTTATTTTTAAAAATTAATTTTAAACCTTAGGTATCGAAAATTTACTTTAAATGATTTCAGCATTACAAAAATCTTCTCAAAGAAACCAGTTATTCATTATCATAAAGAAGGAACAATCAAATTAAAACGAGTATAATTTTTAAATGATACATAACTTAAAAGCAGCATTCACATATATTAGTTATCTCTCTTTAATTTTCTGCCTCTAGATTTTTCAACGAAGTGAAGAATTTGATTTAATGGTTTTGATGAAGTCAGTTTTTAGACAAATGACATAAACCAGAGACTCAGGCAGTCTGTCAAATCAGTCTGAATAGATAGAAGAAGTGAAATTGATAGTGGAATTTATTAAACTAAATCAACTTTAGTACAAGATTACCTGTGTATAGGGGGTGGCTGACTACTTGTTTTTGAGTATGCCAGTCTCCAATAGTGACTAGTTAATTCCTGTTGAAGTCACTTCCTCAGGCATATTTGTATTTCTTCAACACCCACAAAGCCAACCAGTGGTTTATACTGCAATTATGCTGAGTGAACTTTAGTCTCTTGGAGAAAGTGCTTTATCTGGTGGGATTAGTAATTGAACAAAGCCAGTATGCTTTAACCCTTAAAACAGTGGTTCCCTAAATTTTTTTGTCCGAGCTGCATTTTTGGAATGAAAATTTGCTTATGCCTTACCAAATTTTATGTGATAAAAAGTACATTATTATTTTTAAGAATAAAAAAAAACTGAGAGGGCTAAAGGGAGATAATCGTGGTTTTGAAGTCAGAACATTATCATTGATAACTCTCTCCTTCAATTTGCAGAGCCTAGTTACTGTACACTTAATACATCATATAATGCAAAAATATCATAATGATAAAATCTGTCAATAATTATTTATAACGATTTATACTCGGACTCATGCATACAATTACAAGTAATTCATAATAATATTTTAAATTCTGAAATCATAAATATAAACAGTTTAAAAAAATTCATATTCCCAAAATATTTATTTTTGGGATATGAATTTTTTGAAACTGTTTCTAAATCTTTGATTGTCTTTCAATCATTCCACCTCACCTGCTATCCTCTTCTGCTGCACCATGAAGTGTGCTTCACTGTTTTAAAACCACTGCCTTAAAAAGATGGCAGCCACAAAGCAAGAGAGATGTTAAAAAAAAGAAAAGAAAATGATATTGATTATATGGCCAGCTTAATTTTGTGCTATTTTTTTGGTGGAAAGGGCTTAAAAAGGAAATTTCTGATGCAGAAATAAAATAAAATAGTAAAACAATGTAAGTTTTTGGAATATAGCAATATTTAAGAATAAGCGTTTTGAAGCTTTTGCAACAGAGAAGAACTAAGTTGTTTTTAATCAGAGAAATTATTAAAACCAACACAATATTCATTTTTACCTCAAGCAGGGTTCCATCACCACCAGCCACAATAATAGCATCGGTTTCATCTTTCTCCAAAACAGTCAGCAATTGTTTTGCTTGACCTTCGTATTCCAACTAAAAAACAAAACATTGTAATGCCAATGAGTCAGAATAAAAAAAAAATTCTTATTTAAATCAAGGATGTGCAAGTGGCACAATAGTAGTTGCTTGGAATGAGAAATTGGAGTAGAGTTCGAATTTCAGCTGAATTTGTTAAATTCACATTCATGCAAAAAAAAAAAAAAATTATTCTTACAATACAAAATATGTTTCAGCTTTAAATAGCACACAAAGGGTGCGAAGATAAACCATAAAAAACAAATCAAGCAATATCTAAATCAAATAATCACATCACAGACATTTATAATGGTTCAAACAAGGTTCTAATTCCAGTTGAAACAGTTTGACATTAAAACTCTTCTCCCACTAGCTTTAAGTTAAATAGTAAGGTAGATCAAGTTCTCTAGCCTTGTTTGTTGGTTTTGCAACATGTCAACCTTTTTCAAATTATTTAATGTTGAAGTTGTTCTTTTTCTTTGCTTTTATAATTATAGCTTCTAGTAACTATTCTTAATATAAAAAATTTACAATCTATCTGATATGAATAATTTGTAAATTGTATATGATTTCATGTCTTCCTATTGGATATGAATTTTCTTCTGTGAGTGTTTTGTCTATAAAATAACAACAAAAAAGTTGCACAACTCAGTGATACCTGGATGTATCCAATATCAGTAATTCTAAATACATTACTGTTTATAATAACACATCTCCTTTCCTAAGATTATTAATTTAAATTTTTCCTTTCTTTTATTATTTTTTGATAGGTGAATCAGTCATTAAGAATATTTTCATCGGGAGGTAACTATAAGTATCTGTCGATATCTCTGAGATTATTATTATTATTATTTATATTATTTGGACTGTTATCCTCATCTTCATTGCCATATTCACGTTTCGACCTACAATATAACAACTACCCTGGGTACATGGCAGCAGTTCCAATAAACTGGAATAGGAGGGTACAATTGTATAACAGTACTCAGAAAACAGCTTCAGTCTGCCCACCCTATGTGAAGAGATTATCAGAGAAAATACAAAGGATCTGTGGTCTATATAACATCAGGGCAATCTTCAAAAGTGGCTCAACACTTCACAGACACCTCTTCTGAGTAAGAACCTCTGTAGAGGAGAACATGACTAAGGACTGTGTGTATGCCATCCCATGCAGCTGTGGTAAGAAATACAAAGGAGAAACAGGCTGCCCCCTTAAGGTAAGACTGTAAGAACTTCGTAAAGCGGTAACACAAGGGTAAATAGAAAAATCAGGTGTAGTTGACCATATATGAAGGGAAAAGGGAGATCACCACTGCCTGTGGGATGAGGTTGAAATAATAGACAGAGAGCATCACTGGAAAATACGAAAACTTAACGAATCAGCACATATGCTAGGCCACAAAAATCTCCTGAGCTGACCAAGCATAGAAATGAATACAATATTGGAACCAGTAACAAGGAGTGCTAGAGAAAAGCAATGAACAACAACAAAAATTGCAATATAAGCTTTGGTGAAAAAATTCAATAATAATAATGACAAATTGCAATATAAGCTCTGGTAAAAAAAAATAGTTGCTGAGACATTAGGTTTATAAGTCCCAGAAATTTATACACAGATGTCATCAAGTGCACATGGCCCAGTGAATAAAGACATTGGTTAGATCTAGTGAGTTCAATACCAGGCCGCAGTAGTGGTGAACCAAAAAAACTTGGAGAGTTGAGTTAAAGGGAAACAACTGAAACATCCAGAAGAGGCATGGCACGTGGAAATAGAACAATCTACTCTGGTGGATGAAATAAATGGTTTGGTTTGAAATTCCAATTACCTGAAGAAGGCCAGTGTACAATGGTCGAAACATTGTGAATGGCAATGAAAATGAGGATAAGAGTCCAAATAATGTAAATAATGTAAGTTATTGAGATGTCAAACTATTTTTTAAAAATACTATTTAAAGCTATTAGTTAAAACCTAGATATTTTTAAACTATCTACTGTAAACATTTCCAAACATTTGTGCAGTATTCATAATTAATTTTATTAAGAGTTGGTTTCAATTTTTTAATATAAATTGTGTCAAGAATGTTTCGTTCATGTTTATTAGTGTCATGAAAAAATATAGATCTATTTTCAACAAGAATTTTTCTAAATTGCAAATATGGACAGGCATGGTGTTGTAAATGTTGAAAGATATTAGATATATCATTCATATGAAAACTAAACCTTCTAGATAATGTAGTTGTGGTGTGACCAAGATAAATATTTTTTTTCTGTAGGAGATACAATCTCCCAAAGGACATATATATATATATATATATATCCTTAAATTCACAATATTCAACACAAGCTCTCTTTCACTCTCTCTCTCTCTATATATATATATCTTTAAATTTACAATATTCAATCTAATTGTTTACACAACCTGTGTGTGTGTGTGTGTGTGTGTGCATACATCTCCTTGTCCCTACCAGGCAACTAAGATTGGTGATGAGTTGGGTAAAATATAAAATTTAAAATCAAATTGAAATGTTTACAAAACAAGAGAAAACTGGTGTTAACTCACCTTAACAACATCAATCTGGATACCAGCCAGGTTGAGAATAGGAGCTGCATTTTTTTCAAACAGTTTTACACCTTTCCTGCAAAACAAAAAAGAAAACATGTTTCTGAAGAGATAAAAGTCATTGTTTGAAACAGTATATTGTAGATGTCATCATCTCACAATTTCTTTCCACTTGTAATCTCTTTGAATCCGAAAGATTTTTCATGATACCCACTTAATGGTTTAAAAGCAATAGATTCTAAGACTATGTTATATACTGTACCTATGAACACTAATGGGTATGTCCAAATCCTCATAAATACATTGGACACTATTTTAAGTGGGGGTAATATGCTGTCTCAGTAGTTCACCACTAGCAGTGGTTTACCTACTTTATGCTGCTGGCGAGTATTGTATTTTGTTGATGTTATAAAGATTACCATTACATTTCCAACCTCCATTTTGGTTATTTCTCATTGAGTAACCCTTTCTAGGTTACAACAGACTGTATATAATTAGTTCTTAGTTGTTATCTAACAATAACTGGAATCTGTCTATATTTCTGAGATGAGGTATTATGTACATTATTTACATTAGAACAGCCTACCCCAGTGAGTGAAGTAAAGGGTTTAAGTTCGACATTCCAACCATCTGAAGAAGGCCGGAGTGTACAACAGCTGAAACATTGTAATAAATATGGTGACAAAGAAATAATGTAAGTAACTGGAATGTCTGTTTAGAGTAATGGTTAAAGAGCTCATCTGGTTGATGATTACTACAGAGCAGTAATTTCTTTTTTTATTACTAAATATTTCACTTAATATGAGGCTTCAGAGCCATTCAAAGTAGAGGTAGACTGTTAAAATGGTTATAATTAGGTATTTGATATGACTAAAAGAGTTGGTAGGAAGTAAAGATTATGATAAGTAGAATAGATAATGATTAACCCATGACTTGAAGTGGTTAAGATTTTAATGTTCAGGGAAACATCCATGTAGGAGTCTGTTCCACAAAGTAGCAGTTTTGGGGGAAAAAGCTGTCTGAGTGAAAATTTCTCCTTACATTTGGAATATAGGGAAAATGAGAGTGATTCAACTCATGGTAAGTCTTAGCTGTAAAGGTCTGAAATGGTGGAATAAAAAAAAATGGAACTCATATGTATATTTTGAAAGAATAAGAATAGATGTCTCAGTTTTGTTATAGAGTGTGTAACTTTTTTTTTTTTTGAGAAACTTCAATCAGTATATAACACAGGGAATACATTCCATCAAAGACTGCATAAAACACTTACCCCCGGCTGACTGCAGGGTTAAGGAAAACCATTACTTTGCGGGGTCGTTGAGTAAGCTGAATTGACTTCATACCATATTTCTGTCGAAAAAATATTAAAATTATAAATTACATAAGTTACTGGGTAGCCGAGTGTGTGCATTTTTAAATTACAAGCAGCCTCTCGATAATAAAGAATGAATGGGAGGATTGAAATTTACTCAGACAATTCTTTATTCTACTTTCTGTTAACTGTTTATAGTTCTGTTGTTTTCGTGATGAAGGAGATTTTTGCTTTAGAATTTTCTAGAATATTAAAAAATTGCAGTTTCTCTGAGTGGATTAACTGTTGAAGGTAAAAAAAAAAAGATCGTTACTCTCATATTAATAACACAGAGGTAAAGGCGGCTCACAAGTGTATATTTGCCATTCTAGGAACACTTCCAAAATAATGTACTTATCTAGTCTGAAAGTAGACAGTCTCAGGATCTCAAAACTGGTCTTTGTCTTAAATCCAAGTATTTGCCAAGTTATGATCATTTGATGTTTAAAATCACCATGATAAATGCGGCATTTTTCAAACATGCAATACTGATCATCAGAAACCAAGTAAGGCAGTCACCAAAATAACAACATCTGCTGAATTATTTTAAAATTATTATTAAGAGAAATGATTGTAAATAAAAATTGTTCCACACTTTATATTATTTGATAAAGGTTATCAGCTGGTTATTGTAATTTAAGAAGACCCTGTCCCAAAATCAGAATTAAGTACAATGTGGCTGTTCAGTTGATATCTATAACTTGTATTGTTCTTCTAATATATAGTAACAAAGTTACTAACTGCTAGATTTTTATCACTTTAAATGTTATTTTTAGTCAATACTCATATCTGAGTAGGTGTTCTGTTTATTTATTAAACAATATTTATTGTCATCTACTGGCCTCAATGTTCAAGAAATCTTATTAAAAAAAAATTGTGCTCTCTGGCAGGATTTTAACTTGTGTTCCTCAGGGAAGAGCAAGGTACCATTAAGTTCGGCATGCCTTAAAAGAGCATGAAGAGCAGCCAGTCAGGTGAGGCCAAATTTTGTGCCTTAAGCAAAATTTCTCTTGTCATAGAAATCTCAAAGTTTTAACCTATCTGCATAGTTTCATATTCAAATGTAAAAATAAAGAATTTTTAGAATGGATTTTTAAATCATATCTTATCATTGTTAATATAAATTATTGAGAGATGTGAAATTACCATGTTACATCATTGCAACTCAAGAATAAAACAAGAAATAATATCTTTTAATAATAGAACAAAAATTTAAAACATGCATTTTATACATGAAATTTTGGGATGAGGAGTTATCATTATTTACATTTGGATTGTTTAGATATCCCTGGATATGGATAGCAGAATAAGAACTATTTACTCCTGTAGATTAAATAATGGGTTCAGTTAAAAATTTGCTGAAGGTTACAAGGATCAACAAACCCCTGAAGAAGGCTGGAGGACACAATGGCCGAAATGTTTTGATAACAACAACAAAGATGAGGACAATAGTCTGAATGAAAATAATGCTATATTCAGTTGCAGATAGTTGTTTATTTATTCAAGTGAGTTGCCACCATGATGCGACAAAATCTGGTAGTACATTTCCAAAATAGCAGCTCTTATTTAGCAACTGGTTTCACAAGGCTTTGTTTGTGACGTCATGCCTTAGTTGTACTCTATAAACTTGTGCAAAAGTTAGCTTTCTTCAACAAATGTAGAAGGACATTTTGATAATCATACAATCTTATCAAATTTTAATTTTTTTTTATTGCAATATAATAAACAGATTAAAAGTTACATAACCTTGCCGGATTGCACATTTTTCTTAAGTGCACATTTCAATAGATGTAATACATACTGTTTTAAAATAATAAAAAATAACAGGGTATCTATTTCAAACATAAGTTCTTTTCATGCATAACCATATTTTTTTGTTGAAGTAGGATCAGGATTAATCTTGCACAAAGCCAGGTGGGTCCTGTCTGACAAAGGACTTGTCATAATGATTTGAGGCAAGGTCAGATGCCCTTCATGATGCCTAACTCAGACACACACGGTAGTCAAATTACACAGTGTTTTTATTAAGGCACCAACTCTAGGAAGGCTGCCATTCAAGGACTGAGATCCTATCCAAGCTTTATCAAACAAGCTAGGTTAAATAATATGGACGAGTTATGTCTATCAATTTTTTTATATATAAAATAAAATAAATGTGAACTTTAGCAAATTTACCAATAACATATAACAACTAATTCAGAAATTTGAAAGATTTAATAAAAAAATTGATAGACAGAACTTGTTCATATTATCTAAGCAAACATATTTGAGAGAATTATTGTTGCTGAAATACACCTTATTTAAAATATATATATATATATATATATATATATATATATATAAATAAAATGTATACTTGGGGACCAAGCTTTCTTTCGTTGATATCTGTCTATATCTCTGAGATGAGGTATTATGACTACTTACATTATTTGGACTGTTATCCTCATCTTCATTGCCATATTTACAATGTTTCAGCCGTTGTATGCTCTGGCCTTCTTCAGGTGATTGGAATTTCAAACTAAACCCTTTTTTCGTCCACTGGGGCAGATTGTTCTAGTTCCACGTTCCATGCTTCTTCTGGATGTCTCAGTTATTTCCCTTTAACTCAACTCTCAAGTTTGGTTCACTACTACCGTGACCTGGTATTGAACTCATAACTCTTTGGGTTCAGTCACTGGATCTAACCCACGTCTTTAGTGGATAAAGACATACAACGGCCGAAATGAGGATAACAGTCCGAATAACGTAAATAATGTAAGTAATGTTTCATTGAATATGACAAAGAAAATTTGATGAATTTTTTTTGCACTTTCATAGTGTTTTGACCCCAGTTAAGAGGTTAACTATTTGCCCATAGCTGGGACCCTAACAGGTCCTAATATCCCGGGTCCTGGGACTTGGGAACACCAGCAATTAAGAGGTGGTTCCTGCAAAAGGGAACATGGATGTAATTTGGGTTGGAGTCTTTCTATATTAAAAATCTTTTAACTCATTTCTGCTGCTAAATAAGGTGAGAGTAATACTGGGTGCCGGATGTTTTATGTAGGGAGCTTCTATGATGATGAGAGGTTTTCGGTTACAGGATTTATGAAAATGATTGTGTTATCAACCAGAATTTTCCTTCTAGAATCTTGGCTAAATGTTTTTTGATGGCACTTTGGTCAGATAAGTGACATATGAGGAGCCTGTTCAGATAGATAGTGGTATGACCGATTTATAACAAGAGACACAGTCTTGTATTGGGCAGTTAAATTGATAGACGACATTGGTCATCACTGTTTAGATTTAATAAGATTATTTTGATTAGTGATGTGTCTGTTTTCTAACCAAAGCATCATAAAAAGGCATCTAGCCACCCACTATATATATATATATATATATATATATATAATAATAATAATAATAATAATCGACTCTCCTGTCGAGATTCGATGTATGAGGGTCAAGCAGATCAGTTTCCAGGAAACCGACAGCCCGACACTGGCACATGAGATTTGATTATAGTGGTGA